ATATTTTCATCTTTGTTTCTATACATGTTAATGCTATATTTGAAAATTTTTTTTTTTTTTACTTTTCTTCTTTGTGACTATCAAGAGTTATCTCCTCTTTAAGAATTTTGCTTTAAAAATGTTATATTTTGGTATCAGGGATTTATAACAAGAGCTGTCAGAAGGACAGCGCGCTCGACTTTTTTAGTGCTTGCCTATAAAACAAAACTTTGACAGTTAAGGGCACACAAGACTTTAACTAGGAATTTCTAAGTACAAATCAAGAAACATTTTCACAGAGTTATCTTCTCTTGCTTACAGATAGGTCTCATGATGGCACATAAGAACTCCAACTTCCAAAGTAATATCTCAAATGGTTAAGTCAACAAGTGGACAAGAATGAAAATCTTAACTGAGTTTCTAAGTCAAAAAGGGCCATAATTCAAATAAAATCCTTAACAGAATTACCTTCTCCTGCCCATGTTTTGGGACCATGATGGTAAACAAGTATTCCAACTTTCAAATTAATATCTCAAACAGTTCAGTCAAAAAGTGGACTGGTACTAAAAACTTAACCAAGATTCTAAGTCGATAAAAGGCCTTAATTTTTAAAACAAATCCTTGACAGAGTTACCTTCTCTTGCGTACAGATGGGGGTAATGATGTGAAATAGCATTAAAAGTTTCAAAGCAATATCTCAAAGGGTTAAGGCAATAAGTGGATTTTACCCATATTCAATGTATTTTCTAAGTCAAAAAGGGGCATAATTCTGTCAAAAACCTTGACAGAGTTATGTCCTCTTGTCTGTTGATGAAGGTCGTGATGGTAAACAAGTATGGTCAGTTTCAAAGCAATACCTCCAATGGTTTTGAAATAAAGTGAGGTGGTACAAAAAACTTAACCAAGCTCAATACACTTTCTAAGTCAAAAAAGGGCCATAATTCTGTCAAAAACCTTGACAGAGTTATGTACTCTTGTCTGTAGATGGAGGTTATGATGGTGAACAAGTATGGTAAGTTTCAAAGCCATACTTGTAATACTTCTGAAATAAAGTGGGGTGGTACGAAAAACTTAACCAAGGTGTGACGCCAACGCTAACGCCGACGCCGACGCCGACGCCGGGGCGAGTAGGATAGCTCCCCTTTTCATAGAAAAGTCGAGCTAAAAAACAAAAACTTTAGAGTCTCCTTCAGTCTGTATGTATGTCTGTCTGTTCATAAAAACTGTTTCCTGGGATCATTTTTAAAGATTTTTTCCAACAAATTTACTTGAAATAGAGAAAAAGTTGAAACATTAGTTATACTTATTTATCCTGAGAAAATTGGACCTTTTGATTATCTGTTGTATAAACATAATTTCCTTACTAGGCAGGGACTGTTGCTGGGGTTCTAACCGGTAGGGGACTTATGGATTGCTTGCAATATTATGTTAATTGCTTGTTTTTCAAGGACCTCAACAGCTTTTCAAAGCTTACCTGATTGAAATTGAAGAATTTTTAGGAAATTCAGGAATTTCAAGTTTGAAATTTGAAAACTTTTCCAAAACTTTTATAGGTTTTTTAAGGATTTCCATATTTAAATATTAGGTCTTGTATCAAAATTGTATAGTCTTTTCATGGATTTCCAGATTGTAATTTAAAGTGTCATTAAGCTCATTTTTTAGTTAAACTATTCAAAGAATACACAAGTAAATCAAAGGAAGGAGAGAATACACATCAAACATCAGGATGGTTTATAACTGGTTTATTCTAGGATCTACCGGTTTCGGTCTTTCAAGACCTTCATCAGGATACATTTCAAAGAAAATTGATTACTGAAGTACTAAAAATGTGTAAACCAAATGTGACGTATGTTACTATAAATAGACATATAAATGAGTTTATCTGGGCTAAGTGCCAAGTTTTTCTGGGCAAAGTGCCAAGTTGTTTTTCCATATAAAATGTTTCAAGTGTTGGATAACCACAGATCATATCTATGTCAATGACCATTTTACAGCATGGTTCAAGTGTTCATATTCACCAAAATGTTTGTTTTGCATAAATGTAGTTCTAACTCTGTAGTCTTAAGTTGATTTAATAGTTACTGAGGAGAAATTAGCTGGTTTCAAAAAATAGAGAAACCTATTGAACTCGCACATGCGTTGTTGGGTGCCACATTTTAGTTCAGTCTTTGCATGCAAGTTGGTAGAAGGGAACAGGTTGAAAATTTACACAATTATTTGACAGCATAATAGGTGGTCACTATTCAAGGCCAATAACTAACATGAATGATAGAAAACAAACTTTCAGGAAATAAAAAACATCAAAAAATTTTCTCATTTCTTTTTATTTTTGTGAAGGTCAGATAACAAATACTGTATACAATTTTAATAAGTGAATATTAATTATAAAACCAACTCAATACTGATTTTCGGGGACAAAGACAGTTTGCTACAACTCGGGACATTTCATTTTTTTCTCCCGCAGCAATCACATGAAACTTACATACTGTGTAAGAACAAAAATAAAGAGAAAATGTTAAAAAAGTTAAGCATGTATAAGAAGTAAAATAAAATTCTAACCATAGTTAAATTTTCTGAAAATGTGCCATGTTTGGAAAGCAAAAATTGTTTAAAATCATAAAAAGTTAACTGAAAATTAGACAGTTGAATAAAAAATCTTTTATAAATCTTTAACAAAAATAACACCTGCTTCAAGATAAGCTTAGAATATGAGAAAACAAAAACAGAAATTCACATAAAACAAAGGAAAAAAGACACAAATTTCAAATAAATTATCACAGATGTTAAAGCCGACAAAAGGAACAACAACAACAACAATAAATGGACGGAAAAAAACCCTGCATTAACAAAGTATAAAATGGATGTCAACAAATAATGTTGACAACAAATCACAAATATAACATTCTTACATACAATAAACAAATAATGAATTTGAACAAAAAGGGTCTCTCCTGTCATAAAAAATTTCCATCGTTATGCACATACATGGGTTTTTATACAGCTAAACCCGAGTTAAAGACCACCTCTAAATAAAGGCCATCCTGTAGATAAAGGCAATCCTTCATTGATTAAATAGAACATAAGCTTCAAATAAAGACCACTTGTCTATAAAGGTCATGTTTGATCTCTCCTTTGGGTGGCCTTTGTTCACTGGTTTGACTGTTTATTTCTGTTTTATCACACCTGACATAAAACAGTGTAATGCTGATTTATAAAAAGAAATGCACATCTTTATGTTTAAAGGTAAAGGCTATATTGGGCAGTAACTTAACAGTTAGTAGAATTTTTAGTTTTTGCATCTTTCAAAATGACTATCTAAATTGAAAGAAAAATGTCTGAAAATACGAAAATCTTTGATAAAATAGCTCTTGCAAGAATGAATTCATTGCCTAACATTCTAAAAGTAGAAGTGTAATATTTTGTTAGGAAGAGTTTTTTTTTCTGTTTTCTTATAATTCATATGAGACACTTTTTTGACTGAAAATCCTACTGCACGAACATGAAATCTATGTGATTAAGAGTTTTGAAGCTATTACAGTATATGTGGCCTGATATAGCTGTAAGTTGTGTTCAAGGAGCTCCACTGAGGTCAAAAAACCTTAAACATAAAATTTGAAGTTCTTATATAAAATGGACAATCCTGCAAAGGATAATGAATGAATATGCTCAGAATTAAATTGACAATCAGCAAGTGCAATTCTCAGCCCAATTTGGGTGAAAAGGATTTTATTACTTTTTATTTCTGTGTCATTTTCACATTAAAACTGATTATTCTGGGAAAACGGAATGAGGGAATGACCTGAAAATTTGCAAACAAATTATTGGATTAGATCATCATCAAATATTACATAATTTTGGAAGAAAAAAATCCAGGTATGTTATGTCAAAAACACCTCAGTGGAGTCCCTTTAAGGTTACGATAAATTCTTTAAACTACCTAAAATAATGTCCTACATAAAAAACAGTATGTAAAATGGCAGTATGACGTCAAGCAGAATATACATATTTATTCTTCATCAAATATAGACACAAAAAGTTCTAAATTTACATATACACATATAAAAAGGGACAGCATTTTTTAAAGGGAAGAAAAAAAACCCTATTAAAATGTAAAAGAAATTTTTTAAAAAAAAAACCCAAATAAAGCATTTTATATTATGACCCAATACGCGTTTTTTAAATATTTGGAAGACTTTTAAAACTAACTTTACAGCTTTTTCCCCTTTTAAAAAATTACAGCAGTTTTTTTAAACCACAAAAATTTGGTAAATTTCCCATTTAACAGCAAAAGGGGGGTCAAAGGTAAATTTTTTTTTAAAAACTATTACAGTTAAAAGTAATACATTCATGATAAGATTGTGAAAATTCGATATATTTTCACACTAAATAAGTATTTAAAAAAAAATTATACATTCCTAAAATCAGACACATGATATATCTAGTGATAGTTATTTTTAGAACAATTTTTACTCCACGAAAGTGACATATCAATTTGTAATAAATGACAGTTCATTTGCAGTTCCGCAACTCAGAGTATACTATAGCAAGTTTTTTCGAATGATGCCAAAATTTATACAAGTTATTCATGGGGGATATATCTTAGTAAGATAAAGGTCATAGTCCTGTTATAAAAATCCCTGTTCTGTACACATTGGGACAAACTGTCCTTTTTAAAAATGATTTCAATGGCTACACATTCAAGCCAAAAAGTCTCTGCAAGACTTGCAAAATAACCACACTAAACTGTGTCATACCCTCGATTGTGAAATCCTTAAAATAGCTAAGGGTACTGTACTAATAACTTTTAAACTTGACAAACCTACCATGTATTTCAAAATTTTGCCATCGTTAAAATAAAATTACGCCTCAATACAGAGCTACAACTTTTAAGCCTGTCACACATTCTTAGAAAAGTTCCAAAGAGAAAATACAGCCTAACTAATACATTATAAAATCATTATCAATAATTATCACAGATATCAGTACATCCCCATGCCACACATGTAATCTCTACTTGAAAAAATTTCAATGCTAAATTTGGAACATTACATGATAAAACTCACAACATGCACATTTTAGGTTGGACAGAACATACACAAATGTACCTGATCACTTTTTATCAGTTATCGGTTATAATAAATTACCCTATGCAAACATAAACAAAACAGCATTGTTTCATTTCTAACTCCAAACAAAATCACATTAAAAACAATCAAACTGCAGAAAAATTAACACCATTTGGGATATAATCTTCTTTAATAGTGGTTGTTTTTATTTGTATCATAATTTTTTTCTTCACATATAAGAATTACAAAGAAAAGGATGTTTGTTCCCTAGGTAGTGTCATTTGCACTGTGTCCAAAAAAAAAAGTTACATATTTAAAATCTAAGTCATTAACTTCCTAATTGACCAACTGCATTATTTTTGGTGCCTTCATTGGTTGACTTAGTGCCGATTTTTCCATTGTAACTGTTCTGGATGGTTCCGTTGACGTCTGTATCGAGGGATCGTTGAACGATGTTGGTACGGAAAGTGTAGAAGGTTGCGGATCAGTCTTTGATGCATTTACGCTATTTGTTGAAATCTGCGGTTGAGTTACAGATCTTTCTCTAAGATTATTAGATAATTCCGGTAAAACGCGGAATCTCTTTGGATCATCGGGAATTCTAAATAGATGATTATCCCTTTCCTCTTCAGTCAATGGAACTATAGGTCTTCTCCACATTCTTGTTCTCTCTTTATGGTAAACACTGAAAAAATGGGGTATCATTAAGTAGATCTTTTAAAGCTTAACACTATTAAAAAAATAAAATAAAAAATAAATTTATTAAAAATTAATGATTAATCTTTTTTTTTTCTAAAAATTTAAACAGAAAACAAATCCCTTTTGAACATTATTTTACACAATTGTTGTTTTCTTATTGATGATTGTCACAAGGGTCTTGTATAGTTTTACCGGAATTTTTTTTGTGAAAATAAGTTTCCAAGAAATTAGAAATATATTTTAAATGGATTTATCAATCTTTTATTTATAATAAACCATTCATGGAGTTAAGGAAAATTTTCAAATTTATTTACTAACTGACTGAAAACCAAACAATGCAGACCATGATCCTGCAGCACATGTCAGCTTTTTTATGTCTGCCCTTTGTTGCATTTAGTGGGGAAATTTTTTTGCAAATCAAGGGAAACTTTAAGGGGTTTAAAAATGTCAAACTTTTTTAAATTTTAAAAGAAATCCCCTTGATTTAGGAAAAGTTTTCAAATTAATTTACTGACTGAAAACCAAGCAATGCAGACCATGATCACAAAGCACAAGTCAGCTTTTCTATGTCAGCATTTGTCTCAGGGGTGGAAAGAAGGCTCTGGATATAATCAAAGTACACAAAGCACCAAAATTATGACAGTAATTGAATTAAAGCTTGTACCAAAAACCTATTTTTCTTATTTCAAGAATTTTGTCTATCTATGAATTTTGTCTATCTAAAACATTAAACTGGTACTCAGTGTGCCACTAAAAACTTGGCCATTTGATCATATCTGATCAAGATATAAAGATCTTCTCCAATGGATTCAAACATACAAAATGAGCAAATTTTCTGGAAAAAAAATTGCTGTACCATATAGCTTAAGTCATCTGATAAAGGCAATCTATTTAAATAACTTGTCAAACTCTTAGCATAGACAAATAAAATTAATACATTGGGGTGCAGTGGCCGAGTCAATTAGACCCAGAGCACTGTCAGTTTTGGGTCCTACAACGTTTGCTCATATGATATCAGTATTGGTTAATTCTAAGAAGCCAAGGCTTAAAGACGTTCAAAGTAAGCTCTGCCTTCCTTACATTATTTAAGATAAACATATATTTGTAAACAAAAATTCACTGCGCATCTGCATACCTATGGAAATACTGCCGCGTATCTTCAACAACAATTTTAGATTCCCAACTTGCAAAATCTTTGCTTTTTGCCTCCAGTTTTTCCTGCCTGAGTTTTTCTCCTGCCAGGTGTATTGTTCCATGTTCCGGAATTCCGAAGTTGATTTCCGGTACCTTGTAAAGTTCCATATCTTTATCTCTAATGTCCCACGGGTAACGATCTCTGTCCAATGGGGCTTGCAGTAAACCAACATGTAGCATATTTTCCCGCCATTTCTGAAACATTTACAATGTATATGGACTTTTTAGAACAACTTCAAAGAGGAAACCAAGTCATTTTACTCATAGTATCCATGCTGAGCGCCAGCATTCTTAAAACAAAAACAAAAAGATTAAAAGAATGATATTTTTGTTTTTTGGTGTGGTTTTTACACCACTTTCAATACAATTTTAGTCATAGTTTGGCGTTGACCAGTCAACCTAATTGGCTTTCCTGGATAACTAACCAGTAATTACCAATTTCTCATTGTGGACAAACTGTGCAATATAAAGTTACAGTACTGCTTTGCTTTTTAATTTCTTTGATTACCCCGAATGCTGTGGGTGCAAATCCTGCCAGAACCTTCAGACAGTTATCCAGCTAGCTCACAAAAGGTTGCTGGTGATCACTCAAGTGATCACTTGTGTCTAAAATAGGGGTACTACAGGATTTCTTCAACCTATATAGTTCGAAAGCTGTTTTCAAAAAGTAAACTTAAAAATCAGAAAATATAAATAAAGATTACTCTAGACATGCTAGCAGTAATAATGCTTTGTCTATACTATCAGCAGATAGCCAGGTCAGCTTGCATACTTGTACTGTCTGATTTTGGTTTATACTGTTAGCTTCTCAATTTTATCATTTCAATATAAAAATCCCTTAAATTCACAATGGACAGTGCCAAATTCCAATACGGACAAGTCTATTACACAGTCAGCAGGGTAAGTGTTTTAACTATATATAAATCTCATCATTTATACCTCTTGTAGTTCATCAACTCTGGCTGTATGAGGATGTTTCGGATGCTCGTTGGCTTCCAGGGTGGATTTCATGCCCGGATATATCCAGCCTTCCTCGGTCTTCCATCTCGCCTCGGAATCTAATTTCTCCTGCTTCTTCAGAGCTTCAACATTAACAGGTACAACTGTCATAGAGTGGAGATAATCTTGACAGTATGTGTATCTTGTATCAGGATCCTGTCAATATAAAATAAGTTATATTATATCCTACAATTTTTGCAATGAAAATAGTCAGACATCATCATACGACGCTAATCTTTATGATGTAATTCAAATCTTAAAGGAACTCCACTGAGGTTTTTTTTACATTTTAAGTGAGTCAGTGGATCTATGCAAGAATTTTAAACCTCACTGGAGCTCCTTTAATATGCCTTTATACATCTACATGTTTATAGAAATGGAAACCAAAATTCTATATTCAGCTCTGTTCAAACTGGACAATGAACTATGACATAATCTTACTGACATATTTATATATATACATGTATACCATTGAAAAACAGAGTCAGGCAATAAAACAGTATGACTGCATTAACACAGCTACAAATATAAAAGACATCAAGGCAGGTTGAAAGTTCTAATCTAAATTCATTTTTATAAACTTAATTTACTGTTGCATTTGTGTTTTATACATTCTGGACTTGAACACCTGGATCTCCAAACATTATTTAGAGTCATTAAAGAGCATTTGACCCGGGCCATGACAAAACCAACATAGTGCATTTGCGATTGCGACCAGCATGGATCCAGACCAGCCTGTGCATCCGTGCAGTCTGATCAGGATCCATGCTGTTCGCTTACAAACCCTATTACAAGTAGAGAAACTGATAGCGAACAGCATGGATCCTGACCAGTCTGCGCGGATGCGCAGGCTGGTCTGGATCCATGCTGGTCGCAAAAGCACTATGTTCGTTTTGTCATGGCACAGCTCATTTATGTTAAACACCCACACACCTTAGCTAACATCTGTCTGAGTTTCTCTTTAGCAAGATCAGTAGAGTTGAGAGTCTGTGAACTGTAATTGTGAGCAACTGTGACATCAGCTTTAACTGTCAGTGGTTTATTCATTTCTTTCTCCTTCTTAATAATCTCGCTGGCCTTCTTTACCTCTTCCTGTAAAACAAAATAGTGCAGAATTTGTTATAACTGTACAAAATATAGAGAATTTAATATCATTTTATAAAATAGAACAAAATTTGATATCGTTTTACAAAATACAGTAGAATTCCTACTTAAGACACCTACCCGTAATTAAGACCACCCCGCGATTAAAAATTATTTTATTTAAAGGTTGTGAAAAAATAACGTTCCGGAAATGACAAATTTATTACGATATTGGCCGATGTTAGACATAATTTTTGGCGGAAAAGCATTAAGGTTTAGACTACCTTAAACCCACACTGACTGGGTTAAGAGGCAGACACTTCTACCACTAGGCCATCTCTCCCTTAAATGGTCAGGTCCTTGAGATATAAAAATTTGCCAGGATGATTTATAAAACTAGTCAGCAACTTACAAAATTGAGAAAATTCAGTTAATTTCAGAAACTTTTTTTATATCATATCCAGTGCCTTACCTCGTGCAATTTGACAAGGGCATCAAAGCATGGTTTAGGAACCATGTCTCTGACATAGAGAAGTGGTTGTTGAACAATCTGCACTAGCGGCTCGTGTAACTTGACACGACACAAGTCAACATCCAGTGGGCCATACAATCTCTCGCTAAAACTTAGGTTGCTATGATACAGTACAGTGACATCTGAAATAAAAAAATATATTTATCTTAACATGAAACTTGCTTTTAAGGGAAGAAAAAAACCAACACAACCAACATTACTTTTAAATCCTGCACACAATTAAGTTAAAGAGTGTAATAATGTGTAATAAGAAACAAAAGCAGTCAGTAAGAAAGCATGCTTGACTTTTCTCAGTGCTTGACAGTATGAAAAAGGACATAACCGTGTAAAAAGGAACTAAGAGTTATGGGACCTGAGCCGATCATGCAAGGCAATAACAGAACACAAGTATGTGAAGTTTCAACCAATTCTCTTCAGAAGTTTTGGAGATACTTGCACACAAAAACTTAAGCAGTGTGATAGCAACACAAATACCAACATGAGTCTATTTTTCAAAAAGTTGAGCTAAAAATGTCTTTAATTAAACACTGTAATACAATTGATATCTTCCTTTGATTATATGAGGTGAAAAAAAAAGAATTTTGTTCTGAATATGTTCTTAACTCAATCTTTAAATTTTTTTACTTCTTCAAAATAAAAAATCACTTATGGGTATATAGTGGATAATGAATGGATGAATGAAAGAAAGTATTTTTTCAAACAGAAATTAGATTAAGTTTAACAGATAAAGTAAGTAAAATTGTATACCTGAGTTTTCAGGCTGTGGTAATGACTCCCAAACTTCCTTAATTGCTTGTTCCCTTAATCCTTCCAGCACAAATAGATGCATGGAACCATCCAGTACTTGGAAACCAGTGATGATATCTAACGTCCTACTCTGTTGCTGAATCCTGAAACATTTAACACGTATATATCTCTTTAACATATCTCTCTAACATATCTCGACCATGTTATCATTTTAGAAAGCAATTCAATAAAATGCAGAACTGTATCTGCGGAAATACAAATTGATCAAATTTTACCATTTACCGAGAAAAGGCTCTTGGTGTCAGTTGACATTATCGCCATTTGCACTTGATTTATCTGATTGGCAAATATTTGTTTAATCTCCCTTTGAGAATATTGCCATGTAAATGTTAAATTATCAGGAATTAAAATAAATAATGAAGCAAACTCGATAGTATGGCAACAAGTTCTTGATATGCAAATGAAGTTAATAATTTGTGTGCAGAATAATTATCCTATCTTCAGATCTTCACAGCCATTTAGCCACCAGTTCTAAAACAAGCCATTAGCAATTAAGTGAACTTAATTAAACAAGCCATTAGCAATTAAGTAAACTTAATTAAACGAGCCGAATTAGCAAGTAGGTTTCAAGGACATAAAGCAGTTAATGGCTAAACAGTCAGAATCTGTAAAATCACATAAAATCAGATAAAGTAAAAAAAGAAGGTAAAGAAATAAAATACGGAAAAAAAAAACAGTAATGAAATATAAAATTTACCCAGATAGTTTGTAAGTTGAGAGGGCTGCATCCACAACATGCTGAGGCATATCATCTAGCTCGAGAGCACGTGCATTGATCTTCGTGACTAGTGTTTGAAGTTGGTTTAATAACTGTGTATTCTTGTAGTCAAACTTGAAAACGATTCGACCAAATGGACACTGCAACGTACAAATACTTTACATCAATTCAAAGTTAACACTTTCATCATAAAGTAGCCATGAGTTCAAGAATAAAATTCCCTAAAGCAAGTGTATTAAAGTTAATCAAATTTGTCTGGATGACTTAGCCCAAATGAATACTGTCACATGAAAATCAAAATTACATTGTTAGGAAAGTTCAATTTCATTTAAATGACATTTCTTTGTACATCTCAGTTTAACACTATTTTCTAGCTTTACATATAGATTTTGTTTTGTTTGGTTTTACGGCGCACAAACACAATTTAGGTCATATAACACCCAAACAGGAAAGATGACTTTGGCTTACCTTTGGTGTCACAATCTTAAAGCAACACCATGGCTTAAAAGCACCTAAACGGCTGGAGCTAAGAGACATATAAAATTGGTAATTTGACCCCCATTTAGTCGCTTCTTACGATCAGATATGAATAAACGTGTTACAGTGGCCGCAATTTAAATGCCTCAACCCTTAAAGGCAACAATGGGGATTTACTGGTAGAGGAAGATCTAAGGGGTATCCTCTGTGCATTATTTCATGACTATTGGCAGGCACCTGAGTACAACAGTCAATCTTCTATAAACTCACTGTATAGCTTCCTTATATGAAAAAATATACAAAGTCCTCACCAGGACTTGAACCTGCATCAGTAATAGTGGGCAAGTACTTTTAAGTAAAGCGAACTACTTGGCCATGGAGCACCATCCAGTGAAAGAAATTTTTGAGATTAGAGCAATAAAACTTGACATTGTACATAGAGCAATACTTGAAATTGTAAATAGAGCAATAACACTAGAGCAATAAAACTTGACATTGTACATACAAATTTGTCCACAGAGCAGCTGACTTACTGAACAAAATTGAGACCAGATGAGAAAGTGTCCATGGGAAAAGCTCTATTTCAAGACAACATTGCCTTTTGGTAATACGCAATTTTATTTCAGAAATAGAGGATATTGAATGATTGTAGATTTAATACTAAATTTATTAAAAGAGTTGAATAAACTGTTAAAAAGAGTCATTTTTAATTGACGCGCCTATATTGTAACGCTAACATTAGCGCGCTAGTATTGCCTCAGTCAATATATCATCTGCAAGTGAATATCACATCATACTAGTAAATAATTGTATATTATTACTCCTGCGTTGCGGTTTATGTGATAAATTTATATATGAAAATATGAACAAACCTCGTTACTGGACTCAATGTGTGGCTTGCTTGCTACCTCTTGTGGTGTAACTAACGGATGGGTTAGCTCCACTTTAATTTTCAACATTGTATTGTTGGACATGTAATGACCCGCAGGCATTGGACTATCCACTGAAAATAAAATTTTACGACATAAATAAACAATAGAAAATCACCTTTTGCATAAACAAACCCCAACATATTTATTTTTACAAGTTGTAACTTAACACACATAGCAGAAACTGTAAGTAAAATATAAATAACTTACAATAAAAGCACTTGAGTATGAGGTATACTAAAGTATCTTTTTACCCTACCCCCAACCCTCTCCATCCCCCTCCTTCCCATTGATAACAAGATACCAAACATAGCTGTTTTAACAAATACCCCAGTACAGTACAGCTTATTTATTATATACTTTTAAATGAAATATTGAGAAATATTGATGAAATAAATGTGTATTTTCATTTTCCGTATTTTCACTGTAAAATATTTTTCACTGCAGTGAAACATATTTTCTGTATTTTCACTGGTGTCTTGCTGGACTACTTTTTTTAAATTCAGCAAATAGTTATTTTAGCCAATTTTAACCCAGGGACTTTTACTTGAACAAACTTGGTAGACACCCATTTGAAGCTGTTTCATGATAAATATCTAAGTTCTAGCTGTAAGAAGATTTTTTAAGCTTTTAGTATACACATATAGGCAAAAACAATGACCCCCCCCCCTCTGGGTGGGGCCGATTTTGTCCCCAGAGCTTTTATTTGAAGAAACTTGGTAGACACCTACTAGAAGATGTTTCATGCTTAATATCTAAGCTATAGCTCTTAAGGTTTTTTTAAAAGAATATTTTTAAGTTTTTACTACATACATAAAGGAAACTAGAACTCCACGAGTCGGATGTGTCGCCTTGTGAACAATGTAGTTTAGGAGAAATGGCCAGGACAAAAATGAAATATGAAAAATAACAAAGGGCCATAACTCAAAAAATAAGAAATGCAGAGTACCGATTCTTGTGCGCAGCAGTTTCTGTGCACTGCACTTCTTATCAATAAGATCTATCATTCTATGATGTTTCAAGTCCATAGCTTTCATACTTGAGGAGAAATGACCAGGACAAAAATAAAGTAAGAAAATCAACAAAGGGCAATAACTCAAAAAATAAGAAATGCAGAGTATCAGTTCTTATGCACTGCACATTTTCTTAATGAGATCTATCATCCTATGAAGTTTCAAGTCCATAACTTTTATACTTTCGGAGAAATTGCCTGGATAAAAATTAAGTATGAAAATTAACAAAGGGCCATAACTCAAAAAATAAGAAATGCAGAGTACCGATTCTTGTGCACTGCACTTCTTCTTAATGAGACCAATCATCCTATGAAGTTTCAAGACCATGGCTTTTATACATTAGGAGAAATGGCCCGGACAAAAATAAAGTATGAAAATTAACAAAGGGCAATAACTCAAAAAATAAAAAGTGCAGAGTACCGGTTCTTGTGCACTGCACTTCTTCTTAATGAGATCTATCATATTATGAAGTTTCAAGTCCATAGCTTTTTTAGTTGAAGAGAAATGGCCCGGACAAAATTAAAGTATGAAAATTAACAAAGGGCAATAACTCAAAAAATAAGAACTGCAGAGTACCGGTCCTTGTGCACTGCACTTCGGGTTATTGAAAGAAGCATGCATACCAAGTTTGAAGTCAATCAGACTTATAGTGACTGAGTTATGCTCCGGACAAGCTTTAGGGGACCCCGACGCCGACAACAACGCCAACAACGCCGCCGACAAAAGTAACCCCTATATGTCACCTTTTCAAGGCGACACAAAAACAATGACCCCCTGGGGTGGGGCCAATTTTGACCCTAGGGCTTTTATTTGAACACACTTGGTAGACACCCACTAGAAGATGTTTCATGATTAATATCTAAGCTCTAGCTACTTGGGCTTTTTAAAAGAAGATATTTTAAGTTTTTAGTATATACAAATAAGGAAAATCAATGACCCCCCGGGCGGGGCCAATTTTATCCCCAGGGCATTTATTTGAACAAACTTGGTAGACACTGACTAGATGATGTTTCATGCCAAAAATTTAAGCTCTAGCTCTTTCAGTTTTCTAAAAGAAGATATCTTAAGTTTTTTCTTTCGGTTGCCATGGCAACCAGAGTTCTGCTTAAAATTAAATTCTTTGAACAATTTTTAAAGTTGACTACCAAAGAAACATTCCTGTGAAGTTTAGATGAAATTGGCTTAGCGGTTTATGAGGAGATGTCGTTTAAGGTAAAAGTTTACGGACGGACGGACGGACAGACGACAGAAAAGCGATCACAAAAGCTCACCCTGTCACTTTGAGACAGGTGAGCTAAAAATTCAAGTTTTTTCTATAAATACAGGATTTATTTTCATCTTGTAGTATGAAAATTGTATCATATTTCACTCGTGGCTACTGCCACGCATGAAATATTTATTTTCTTTAAAACTTATTTTTTTAATAGGTCTGTCTAGTCACACTGGCTGCTTGGCCTAAAGTATGAATCATTTCCATACATAAATGAAAAGTTAAGAAAATATAAGCAAAATTAAAGCATCTGAACTTGATGGTGGGAAAAAAAGTTGTGCTAAAAACACACTAAAATATCGTAACCAAATACCTGGCCCATCAACTGCGCCTGCAAGGCCCATAACTTTTCCTGACAAAGAGTTGTCTCGGAGACCGAGTAGATCGGGTGGGGGACAATTGTGAACGGGAACCTTAATGTAGAGATATCTATGGCCTAGGAGAAGGTCAGATAGATCAACCTTAGAAACACCATATGGATCCCAAATCTTTGACTTGTCTTTGAATGGATTGTGCAGAGTCCTCCTGCCTGTAAAACAGAGGTAAAAATAATGAGTTGATCTTTATAGTGATTTGATTAAAGAAGTTTATAATTCAGAGAAATGTGGTAAAATAAAACATGATATTTTCATTAACAAACATTTTGTTTAGTTAGTTTTAACATATTTATTTAATTTTATCTCAATGGCAAAACAAGTTTTTGCAACTTATATTAATCACTTTCAAGTCTGCTTCCTGGAACCAACCAGTACTGGTGTCATATGAAGAAACATGGTCGTGACTCTAGTAGGGCTTAAACCCATGTTACATGGGTTGGAAAGCAGACACCTTAACCACTAGGCTACCACTCCCCTTAAATTTAATCCACTTACCTGCTACACTTTGTAAACATGAACATTACTTTCTACAACTATGTGATGAACTATTCATACTACAAATTTCAACAGCTAACAACTTTAAAACCTTTAAAGTTTGTTTGTTTGTTTGTTTCATTTTACGCCTTTTCCCAACAGTATTTCAGTCATATAGGTGGGTAGTTTCCTAACCATCGTTCCTGGAGAGTTACACCAGTACTAGACTACCTTCCACCCTGTTAAACTACCAAAGCATCTCCGGGGAATCGAACCCACGCCAGAGAGGTAAGTGGATTAGAAGTCATCCACTCTAACTCCTAGACCACAGAGGCGGTTAAAACCTTTAAAGTGAACAAACTGAGATAAATTAAAATATAACCTAATTTCTACTATCACTTGACCTCAAACGGACCTTGAATTTGGACAATTCAGACACTAAACTTTACAACTCATGAAATGATAATGAATTGCCTACCAATGTGTCAGCAGTATAACAAGCATGTAAATTACAAGTTTGCAATATCAAAAACCAAAAAGTCATAAATGAAATTCAAAGCTTTAAGTTTTATTCACTTACTTGCCACAGTGCCGACATTACTGATCTTTTCATCTTCAAGGTCATCTCCGAACAGTGAAGCCTTCAACTTCATTTCTTCCAGTTTCCGGTCCCTATCATGCACCTCAATTTCCATTGGCGGGCCATTTAGATACTGCCGGAATTCTGACGGCTCAAATGTCCCTGGAAAGATGATATGTTACATTTTGTATAATACTATTACCGGTATAAATGTTTGCTGTCATAGGTTTAAGAAGTTTAACATTTGGTACTGATTTAATTTGTACCACCCTTTAATGGGTATATATAGTTATATCTTATGAAATATTTTGATCAAATTCATCAACAATCAATTACATTGGTTTGATACTCTTATAGTTGATTCTCGAAAGAGTTGGAACATAGAATGTCTCTGTTATTTAACACTCATGAAAACTTTACAAATTAACAGACTAATATTTTGTTCTGGAAAAATTTATTCTGTTAATTTGTAAAATTAAAAACAATTAACAGAATAAATTTTTCCGGAACAAAATATTATTCTGCCATTAATGATTTTAAGTAGGGTCTTATCCATTTCACAATAATTCTGTGTATGTGCCATTCATTTTTAAGGCAATTTACTACCATATTTATTTCCAACAAGAACAAAACTTTTTGCAGCTGATATATAGCTTTATTACATGCTTATTATATTTGATAATTTTCACTCTAGCAAGACTATATTTGAATGCGAATATAATACTATTTCATAACTAAATGGAATTTTATCAGCAGGAATAAATTCTGTGGTATGTAAATTTTGCTTTTTTTTAGGAGATTAAACAAGTACAATTGCATACAATTGTTGTTAAAAAAGGTAACAAAATTCGAAGAAATTTTACACATTGGTATGAAATGATGTCCATGATGTGATGAACATTCATGAAGAAGAATGCAATGACATTACGCAGCGAAACCAAAGTAAAAATGATTTAATAATCATTTAAAAGAACATGAAATAAATAGAAAATTTTTGTTTGTTTTGCATGTAAGATCAAATTTAAATATTAACTGAAGTGGGACACAAGATGCAATTATACACTTTTAATACCTCATTAATGGTTTTCTCAATGTGGTCAACTTGTATGACCAATCAGCTATCATCGATATTTTACCAGTTAAAGAACATGTTCTTGAAAATAAGTTTTTTTTCAATCAAATAGCATTAAAATAAATAATGTTTACAGTGATTAAGAATGCCTTAGCCCTTTGACACAAATATCAAAAAAAGAAAATGCTAAATTAGTTTCATTATTAAATTTGCCGATTTATTTACAATTTTAGGAATTATTTTTTTACCTGCCAGTATGACGTTAATGTCGTCATAGTACACGTTCGGTGCATGTGGTCGCTTCAACGTCGCATGTGGGGACAGATTGAAGAACGAATATCTACAATATACTGGCATACATCTGAAATACAATAAATTAAATGTTTAACATCAACCTGCTGATTTTTTCAAATAGATTTGTCCAGCAACTTCAATTTGGAACAGTCCATTCTTAGTTTAGGGGATTTCAAAATCAAAATGCTATAACAGTATATAATTATAGAGACTGACTAAACTGCAAAATCTTCTGGTCGGTCTAGCTCTCTTACTGGTGACATAGCCTATTAAGCAAATCATTATTGATGGTGTAACTTTAACAGTTAGTCGTATAATGTACTTTTTATATTAGATCAAATAAATTTCCTGAGTTTTCATTGGTTCCACTCTAAACTGCACTGTCTACAATTTATCAACAAAAAAGTGCTGCTTTCCTTAGTATGTAGGTAAGTGCCTCCAACCTTATGTCCTGTCAAAAACTTATATAACTAAAAAAAAACACACCCACTACTTGTTACAAGAGAATCTTGGCAAAATATATGGGGGCATTTTGCCTGTCAGATGATGATCCATAGAACATTAGGCAAAAGTCAAGATGGAATATTTATATTTAAACAGTGGGTGTAAACACATGACGTTGCTGTTTTCAAAGTGGAACAACAAATATCACAGTCGATACAATCCCTAATAGTTTATAAAAAATTCTATCTTAAAAAGCTGCGTATTTCTTTTATCTTAAGTCAATAGGGACTCCAACATATAATTTGAATATAAAATGACAAAATTCAAAACATCACGACAAAGTACAAAATACGACAAAACAAATCCTAATACAAGTCATTTATCTTAAATGCATGCACGAGAGTCTGTTGCAAAAGTGTGTACACATAAAAAAGACAACAGAAAACAAATACAACAAAGAACCTCAAAGAATGTGTCGTAACACATAAAAAAAGCAAAAAAACAAAAACAACAAAGACGTAACCTCATAGAATAATGAATTTAATTTTCAAATTTCAATTGTCTAAGATAAAACAAGAAAAAGCTCCGAAACAGAAAACTCAATATATCACATAAAGCGATCAAGCCTTTCGACAGAGAGGCGCCTGGTTGGCGTGTATCTAAAATATCACTGACATTTTGTCTAATACAAAACGTTCATCAATACTCCCGATATGATAACGGTCTTTCCTAACTCAAAACAAAATAACGAGATATATCTCCGACTATAATTGCTTCGATTCCTTTGAGATATAAGAAATAATATTGTATTATTTGTAATTATAGTTAGGCCAGACAAAACTGGTAAGAAAATTGTCACATCCAGACACAACCATGCGACATAATAACAACACTGATCGCTCATCTTTTAGTCACCCTGGCACCAAGTTTCTCTTAAAAAAAACATCAAAGTTTAAAATTTCTCAAGTTATCTAACAATGCAGGAAGCTGAGACTTAGTGACTACGGAAATTTTCTTAAATTTCACCGAGGACATTTACCATTATATTGTGCAACTGGAATCAAGACTGAAAATTCATGCAAAACTGAAAATATACACATGCTGACTGGACAGCACCATTTTGATAATCTGGTTAGAATTTACTATCAAGATTCTTTAAGATTAAGTACTTGAATCCTTTATTGAGTGATTTCTGCCCTCACAAACCTTTGTTTTGTTTAATAAATAACTCTACAAATGAGAAATTAATGTCAGGAACCAAAGATAAGTCAATTTCACTGTTTGCACTCATGTTTGCTAACAGCTTATACTGGCTTTATAGAAATCAGCTTGCCACCTTTTAGCCTGGTTTGGTTCATTTTCTAAAATAGCTGTAGAATATTAAGAATGATCAATTGTCGCTTTATAGCGTTCTACTTCCATAACACAATCCTTTGAATAGTAACATCTTAACCCTTACGAAACTTATTTTAATGTAACACGAAACTTATTTTATGTAACACACTTTACCCCAGTTACATACCATGCTGTACATTATGAGTAAGAGGGATTTACCCTAACCAAAGTAAATATTTTAAATGGACTTGTCCATCCTTTAATCTGGACAAAACCACTATCATTTTAGGGCAATTTTCAAAGCAGATACTGATTAATAAAGTAATAAACAGTACAGACAGATCATACTCAGACAGCATGGATTTAATCTGGCTGATTTTGGATCGTGGACTGTACTGGTTGCATGGGTAGATTCATTTGCCGCCACAGGCTTAGATTTAATAAATTTTAACCCACATGTAAGTTGATTGCCGATCAATATTCTCCAATAATAAGATGTATTATAAACTAATTCATCAAATGATCTAAATTAATATAGCATACTGGTATAATAAATCCATGCCACATAATAATCTGACTTAATACGCTGCATACTGGTATTATAAATTCATGGCAGACAATAATCTAACTTATTATTATATATTCATAAATGAAATGTTGAAAAATATTGATGAAATAAAATGCATATTTTCATTTTCCCTATTTTCGCTGTAAAAATTTCTTTTTTCACTGCAGTGAAACATTATTTTCTAAATTTAAGGGGGTGTCTTTCAAATTGTAATGTCTAAAGAGAAAAATGTATGTAACAGAAAAATTCACATTTTTTTCAATAAATACAGGATTTATTATCATCTAGTGGTATGAAAATTATCATATCTGATAGTGGTTGCTGCAACTTAAGAAATATTTATTTTCATACTAAAATTTCAACTTTGACGAAAAATTTTAATGTTTTGTCTTATTTCTAAATAGAAGTAACAGGCTATTTTATATATAATAATGACCATACACATTTTAAAAAACCTTGTGTGTAAGACAGTTTTTTCAGTTTTTTTAAATCTTAAATTCCTAAAAATGCTAAATTATATTTTTCTCAATTTTACCAGAAGCCTTTTCCCAAAATAGCTGAAAAAGGCCCTTGGAAGTGAAACAGGTATAAATACATCAAAATCTTCCCATACACCTAATTAATTTTATACACAAGTCATGTCTAAAAATACAGATATTAGTAAAAGAGTCAGACACCATAACAAGGGTTTTACCGCAAAACTGCAGTAACTCATATCAAGTAAAGAAGGACTTACAACAGTCTTGCAGCAAACCTCGAATTATACTTTTTCCCTATAAATTATCTTTATTTATCAATTTAAAAGAAAGATCACAAAAGACAATATTTTGACCTAGTCATGTAGCTGTTTGGAACAGAATTAAAGTTATGCAGCTTTTAAATATTTTGACGAAAGTACTAAAGAAAAAATTCTTATTTGATTTCTATTAGCAGCAAACATTACCTAAAACGAAATACATGTATTATTTATGATCAAAAAAGTTTTAAAAAATAAAAATTCACCAAGAGTATTAGGAGGTATGTAAAGTAGTGTATGTTCATGTATCTATCTGTTATGAAAATTCATAATTATATATTAATAACATTTGACAAGACTTAGTATTACAGACATGTGCATAACATACTTTTTATTATTACACATAATACAAAAATGTACGTTTTAAAATTTGAAAAAGAAAAAAACATATCGAAAATGTTTTTGTTTTTTAATACAAAATTGCTACAAGTACATACTTTTGAAACTTCAATATTCCAACAGTTGTTACCACTTTTCCACACGTAAAAGTTCATGATGAAAAAAAAATATAAAAAAATTAGGCGACTTTGCTCTCCGAAATCAAGTGGAATTCTGCCAAAATATTCAAATCGTCTCCGGGAACTCAATCAAGATCTCTAAACAATTGTGACGGGGAGAAGTGGATTTGCATATTGACGACTTCATGACATTAACGTTCTTCCTCCACGGTAAAGTAAAGCCGATCAAGAGTGGTTTTCTCGTTATCAGAAGAAATGATGGAAAAGTTCATTACAAACAACAAGTGCTTGGCTTCAGATAATCTGGACACCCAGCGAGGAAATTAACAGTGAGAGATATCGTAATTTACGAGAAAATCAAGTGCTCACTTATATGGCTTGCATTTCTTAAAGCTTCCCATTCCACTAGTTTAGACAAATTAAGGATATATATCAACTTCAACAGAACGTTCTACATTTAGATTTTAAGTGTGAGCAGCAAAAAATATTATCACTATCTTCAGATAAATATGCATAAATGAATATAATATATATACATAGACAGTAAAATCACACAAAAAATCGGGACATCGCAGCCCGGAGTCGAACCACGGGTCTCTGGATTGCCGGTCCAGTCTACTAACCACTACACCACTATGGCTGTTGTGTGTACATATATTTACATGTATATAAATTCTGAGAAGAAAGCAATGTTCATTATCCATTCTGGAAATATCCAAAGATGAAAATTAAAGGCTGTTAAGTCGGTCAACTGTACAGAAACTGGGCATACTGTATAAATGTTAAGGCTAGCCTGTCCTTAATCACTGGTGACAAAGACTAAACTTTTACGTCCCAGTAGAATAAGGGTTTAATGCTTTGTCTATGTAATACTATGCTATTAATGGTATTAAAAATATAGTATCAAAAAAATTGTTCTAGATCAATAATTGCTAGGATCTATACAACAATATATAGGACAGTACAGAATGGTTTGATACTGCTATCACGCTTAGTGCTTTTATGATGATTGTTTTTATAGATAAGCTATGAAAGCTATGCTATGTGAGACTAAAGTCACTATACTAACTTTACTAAGACTAATTTTACAAATTTGAACATCAAATTCAGATCAGTGATGGTCAAATATTCTCATTCTTCAATTAACTTCGGAGCCTATTGAGATAAAAGATCCAATTTTTGCGTCCAATCTGAGACATAGCCTTTTATAAGACTATCTTACATAAACAGTTAAATGTAAAATCAAGAATTTTATTATGAAGAGCCAATAATGTCAAATTTCAGAAATTATTCAATATTGTCGTGCAGATTCACTGACTTTGTTATCCTATGAAAATAAAACAAATTCTTTATCAACCAAACAATAAATTTTTCCCGCTACATCTAAAAATGTGCTGTAATTAAATTGCTTCCAGTAATCGAAAGCAAATTTTACTGCGCCCAATAGAATAATTTTCTCAAGATGAACTGCTTTTAAAAGTTTATCAAGAAAGAGAAATTGTTCTTCGGAAAAACCAAAATCAATCCCGTATTGATAAAAAGGGGAGAAAACTTAGGATAAGCGTTTCATGGAATATTGAATATCCTAAACTAGTTATAACTTGATGGATGCAATTACTTTGAGGACATTTATTCTCGTTCCATTAATCACATCAATCGGGTCTTCCTGTGGAGAACGGATATTGATATTTTTGGCGGGGGACTTTCCTCGGCTGCGGGGGTCAATAGAATATTTACAGGAAGTAACAGGTTGTTTAATGGATATGAAATTTCGATTTCACTTAAAGGATGGTTCTCTCATTTCATGCGATTATAAACAATTACTTTATATTCCAGTCATGCATGTTAACCGTTACACAGAAAATGGCCAATTATGTACATGTACTATCATATGATATCTGCGAGCATCTGCCAACTTCTTCACACATCATTGTTGTCAATGATTTCATGTTTTAATAAGATATTGCTGTAGTCTATATGCCTAAACCCTAAAAGCCCATATGCACATTTTATAAGCTTCTCAAAATTGGAAAGATATTAAATATACATGCATAAAAAATAGCCCAGTAAAAAAAGCTACATCCTTTTCTATAAATCTTCACAAGTAAATCCATAGATAAACAAATTATGTTAAAATTCAAATTCTTCAAAACTTTATTGAGAAAATATTGTAAAAATAACCAAATATTCTTTGCCCTAAAGTAAGGATAGCTATTTCGAGAACATTTTTTTTCGCACCATTTCATCAGCAAAGTGTCAATTTGTTACACGTCAGTTCCTTCTACGTTAATTCTAAACTCAAATTCCAATTCATTACTAACAAGCTGGATATTCTATAAATACAAGACTACCGTAGTTCTTCTGAAAAAACACCAGACCCAATTATTTATATTTGTTCTTAAAGCAATAACAAATATTTTAATGACATACAGTCACATGGCATTCAGTTTTGAACGTCTATAATTGACAATATGTTCACTGAAGCAGGCCCTGATTTATCAGATAATGTAACATGATGTTTGAATCAATAACAGTAAAATCAGATTTTAGTTCTGCGGGTCGGACAATAAATTCCAAATAGAATTGCTTCAGCACCATCCCCAACACTTAACTTTAAATGACACTAGGTTAAATATCTTTAGTGGGCTTTCAATCTGAACAAAGCCATTCTTCATTTTTAGGGAAAATTTCAAAACTGGCTGAATAGTGAACAGTGCAAACCAGCTAAATACGTTCAAGTTAAAGGCACATTATGCCTCAGAAACGAATATTTTTTTCTTTTTTAGAAAAGGAAAACATGACTTTTATAATGTTTAAGAATGTTTGATATTCATTATAACTGAACAAGCAGTAATGTGTCATAAAAGAAGCAAAATGTTAACAACTTCAGGTCTCAACACTAACTTTTTCAGAAGGTGGTATGCCGGACCACTGGAAAATTCAGGTGGTCCTTTCTGTACACAGGTGGTCCATCTTTTTTTTTACTCATTTGTTTTTAAGGAAACTTCAGATTTAGAAGAACTACTCTTTAAATTGGTGACAGAGACATATTTATTATTAGATTTATAACAACTGAAGAAAACATGTATTTTTTCTATTTCTATCTAATCAGATAGTTAGTCATTGTAATCGTATTTAGCATTTATTATCTCATTGAAAAATACAAAATACATGACAGTACTCATACTTTGGTTAAGTGACTTCTTCCGCAACTCAAGTTAGGGAATAGTAAAACCATTTGTGAATGACTCATTTCCTTACTGTTATTCAAATACTCATTGCTGTTTCCTGGTACATCTTATAAGAATAATAATTGCTTTTTATAGATTCACATTTTTAATTAAACTATTAAGTTATTATATTCTTGTCTTTGGAACAATGAAATATTAATGATAAACAGAAAAATTCCTACATTATAATAAATTATTGAGCTTATCTTCCTCACAGATTTATTATACATGCTTGTTTGTTGAAATGTATTTATTTTTGACAAAGTATTTATAACCTTTTAAAGTACTTTAAATAAGAAAAAAATGGACCTCTGATCGTTTAAAAAAGTAGCCAAAGATTACTAGATATTTAATTTTTCCTTTGCCTTTGTTTGCACCATTATTCATGTGTTTATCCGATATCCCATAGTGATACAATGTTATAAATTCAATGCAGTACTAGAGACATTTGAATGAATTTTATACTTTAATCATTAAAATAATTTTCTACTTTTTTAACTACACTGTTAGCGATATACGTCAGTTAATAAAAAGTTATGGATGTCTTAAGATCTTTTTGAACTAATGAGATGAATGAACATGTACCTGTACATCGGAGAAATGGTTTTAAACAACAATTAAAGAACACGTTTTTCGACCAAATAACCATTCTCCCAGATGAGCCCTGCACCATTTGGAAAATTCAAGTGGTCTAAAGTTTATGGTTCAAAACCTCACTATAAAGTTTATTTTTGAACCATAAACGTTTACCATTCATATAGACAATGTTATCTCCGCTTTTCCGCAAAAGTAGTCTCCCCTGAAAAATACTCTTCAATCTCCTCGTCCGCCATTACGGGAGTGAAAAACACAATTTAACCAAAATATCAAATATTTTGATAAAAGCGAGTGATTATGCCTTATCAACGAGGTGGTGGTAGGCAGTGTGCTGTAGTAAATTGTAATAATAACCAGAAAAAGCTGTACGACTGGGAAAACTCGCCATGTACACTGCATAATGATATAAAAGGGAAAAAAGCTTTCAAATATAAATCAAATATTATGAAATGAAATCTTTCTATCAGTCTTTGAAAAAATGTTAATAATTTCATCTGCTCACTAAAAAGAATCTCAAATATTGGATCTTAACTGAATATATACGGTAGCTTCAGTTATTTATTCTTGTGACGAGTTCTCGACAACTAGATCACCAAATTAGTATACAGTTCAAAGAATTTTGTCACCATCTTCTACGAAAATCCAAAAATCGAACAACACTAATAGGGCAATAATTCACATCCTCAGAGTTTTATAGGCATTTAACTTTTCTGAGTCTCCGAATAAATTTTTTATTCAAAATGAATTGCGATATATGTTTCAAAACTGCTATATTTCTAAGGACATTGTATACTGTATAAATATATAGCTTACTGTTATTGTAATCAATAAGATTCTCTAATCAATAAGATTCTCTAAAATCCCTGCTTTAGCTTTACATCTAAATTCCATTAAAAAAAATATATATATATAATTCTGACCTCAACAACCACTGTTTTAACTTATCTTTTATTTCTAATACTTCTGTTATACAATAACTTATAATTGAGCCGCGCCATGACAAAACCAACATAATGCGTTTGCAACCAGCATGGATCCAGACAAGCCAGCATATCTGCGCAGTCTGATCAGGATCCATGCTGTTTACTAACAAACCGTATTACAAGTAGAGAAACTGATAGCGAACAGCATGGATCCTGATCAGACTGTGCGGATGCGCAGGTTGGTCTGGATCCATGCTGGTCGCAAACGCATTATGTTGGTTTTGTCATGGCACGGCTCATATGATCTTTATAATCCCTTATTTTAGTTATAAAATTACTTCCCAAAAATCACTGACTTACAGGTCTCTATCTTTGCAGTCAACAAAAAGAGACACAAATCTGGTAAAAACAATGTGTATGTCCAAACATGTACATGTAAAATTTTGATTTGATCAAAATTAACATAAAGCATAATGTTGAAGTGTATATCAAATATGCTAAAACATCTTACAACACGTAAAAGAACCATAAAAAACTTTCGAATAAACTTTAAAAAATATGTGTATGAAAATACGAGACCAACAAAATTTAAAGGTACTCAGCAAAACTGGCTTAACTTTCTCTTTAATTTATTTTTTTACAGTTTTGCATGGAGCCCTCATAAACAGTTAATCATGCACAGTATGTGACCATTACAAACGTTCGGAGCAAGTTTCACTATACTCTCACATGTGATCTTACAATATATACATGTAATATTCTTACCACGCGGCTAAATAGAAACAATCAAGATTACATATTCGCAAAATTATACAAAACATCAAATTATGTTTTATAACTTAAAGTCTACAAATATCATTTGATTACTCATATTTTTACAATTTTCTTTGGCAAATAAGATTGTTTTTTTTAACAGTTACTATGGCATCTGTAAAAAGTCTAGCTTAAAATTCATCTTCAATGTTTTTTAATGGATAAGTGAAAGATTTAGCCTTAAAGCAATACTTAAATAGTTTTTAATTGTTGTTTTTCAAAGAAAATTTAACGATAATTAAAAAAAATGTAAACTTAAATTAAAACTTTTAACAGTTTTGTCCTATACTGTTTATGTTCTTTAACTAGAGAAAATTTAGGCTTAAATTAAAACTTAAATTAGATTTGTCACATATTGTAACTGTTCTAATTCTATAAACATTTAAAAATTTATCGAAGAATTGAACTAATTATTAAATAAGAAATCATTAAGACTGTAAGGCAAGATTTTATCGTCGGGAAACTAAAGATTAAATATATTAGACACCTTTGTTAAAGTAACTGACCTGTCTTTCAGCTGTTCATGGGTCATCGGTGACGCGGGCATGTTGGTAACAGAGTGAATATTGATGATCATTGGGTTCAACTCCTGTTTCTGTTTCTCGTTCAGTAACGGTTTGTTAAGCTGTAAGGTAACAAACATATCCTCGAGGCCTGGCACCGGGGTATCCAACCGGTTTGTAATCGTTTCTACACCTGGGAAGTCAAAAAATAGTTCTACATGTCTTGGAAGTCTGGTGACAATATTAACATATTATGGTCTTGTTTAAAAAAACAACAAAAAAAGCAGTATTTACTTGAACTCTCTTCTTACAACTAGGCAATACATGAACATGGATCTTACAAAGTTTTTCAACCATTCAAACATACATAGTAGGACATCATTGAATTTTGAGAAGAATTATTAAAATTATCTACTAAAGTCAGATCATAACATTTCTGTACATACAAATCATCACCTTAGTGCAGTATCAGGTTAACTCCTTATGTATTTTAATAGGAGTTAACCCGTTTCTGCACTAACAAAATTTTCATAAATAGATAACTCACAAGTGTTGCAACGCTTTTCAATTTTGGGTATTTTATACAATAATAATACTTATTCTGATAAACAGAGTTAGTGAATGATCTGAAATTTTGCACACAAGTTAATTGTCCAGACCTACATCAAATGAAACATTAATATCCAAAATTTATTTAAAGTCCTGTCATGTCAAAAAACCACAGTGGAGTCCCTTTAAGTGAACATACCAGAGAAGAGGACAGCCATTCTGATTGGTACCATACAGATACCATTCCTCTTTACATGCTCTGCGGCAGTCTGGGCCGCTAATTCTGCCTTACGATTTCGCCTTCGAGGCTGAAACGAGCCCTGGTTTGAGGCTTGAATAGCTTTGCTTGATCCTGTAATTACAATGAATAATAAAGTTCATGCATATGAAATAAAGCTGATTATCTAATCAAAACATTTTCTACCAAATTTGAAGGGTGAGCAGCGAAAAGATGTGGTGGAGGCATAATAATAAAACTTTCTTTCCTTAAACAAGAGGGCCATGATGGCCCTGAAGTCGCTCACCTGTATATATGCCCCCCGAAGCGGGCCAGTTTAAACCCCAGGGCTTTTATTTGAACAAACTTGGTAGACACCCATAAGAACATGTTTCATGCTAAACATCTAAGGTCTAGCTCGTTGGGTTTTTTAAAAGAAGATTTTTTAAGTTCTTCAAAGAAGATTTTTAAAGTTTTTTCTTTACACATATAGTTAAAAACAATGACACCCCTGGGGCAGGGCCAGTTTTGACCCCAGGGCTTTTATTTGAACAGTCTTTGTAGACACTTACTAGAAAATGTTTCATGCTTAATATCTAAACTCTAGCTATTCGGGTTTTTTCGAAGAAGATTTTTAAATTTTTGCCATACACATATAAGGAAAATCAATGTCTCCCGGGGCGGGGCCAAATTTGACCCAAGGGCTTTTATTTGAACAAACTTTGTAGACACTCACTAGAAGATGTTTCATGCTAAATATCTAAACTCTAGCTATTTGGTTTTTTTCAAAGAATATTTTTTAAGTTTTTGCTATACACATATATGGAAAATCAATGACCCCCGGACGGGGCCAATTTTGACCCCGGGGCTCTTATTTGAACAAACTTGGTAGACATCCTTTAGAACATGTTTCATGCTTAATATCTTAGCTCTAGCTCTTTGGGTTCTTTAAAAGAAGATTTTATAAGTTTTTACTATATGCATATAGCGAAAATCAATGACCCCCTTGGGCGGGGCCAATTTTGACCCCAGGGCTTTTATTTGAACAAACTTGATAGACATCCATTAGAACATGTTTCATGCTAAATATCTTAGCTCTAGCTCTTTGGGTTCTTTAAAAGAAGATTTTTTAAGTTTTTGCTATATGCAAATAGGGAAAATCAATGACCCCCTGGGGCCGGGCCAATTTTGACCCCAGGGCTTTTATTTGAACAAACTTGGTAAACACTCACTAGAAGATGTTTCATGCTAAATATCTAAGCTAAATACTTCTTTGCGTTTTTTAGAAGAAGATATTTAAAGTTTTTTTCTTTTGGTTGCCATGGTAACCAGAGTTCTGCATGGAATCAAATTCTTTGAACAGTTTTCAAAGGTGACCACCAAATGAACATTCCTGTGAAGTTTGGATGAAATTGGCTTAGTGGTTTATGAGGAGATGTCATTTAAAGTGAAAGTTTATGGATGACGGACGGATGCCGGACAAAAAGTGATCACAAAAGCTCACCCTGTCACTTTGTGACAGGTGAGCTAAAAAGGAGAGTAATTAGTAATTTATACAAATTTATTTTAGTTTGATTGTGTTGGAAGACATAGCTTATTGAAACACTCTCAAATCTGTTCCTGGAACCAACCAGTATTAAGCAATGAATGTAAAGTTTCTTGCTCAAGGAAACAACGGCTTTGAACCCACACAGTCAGCAATCCCTAGATTACTAGTCTGTTGGTTAACCACTCGGCCACGCGGCAACAAGGGGAATAATTCAGTACCAATTCAGGCTACTGTTACAGATCTTTGAAGCATTTAAACATGAGTCAACATGAATATCTTCAGTGGCTTGCATAATGATGTTATCAGGAATTCTTACCTAAGCACGGATTTTTAATAAAAAGTTGTTATTTGAAACTCAACAAATATGGCTTTTTCCAAGCTTATCTCCCTAATACAAACAAATTTTACCATTAAAGCTTCAGAGTGAATGATGGTTCACAATAAATTTGTTAACCTGTAGCGATTATTTTCCAAGCTGTAACTGTAAAGTTTGTTTGTATCCCCCCCACCCCCAATTAGCTTGAAAAAAACAAAATATTCTCTATTCAGGAGTAAGTTTAGTCTATTCATTAAGCTCTCAAAGGAGTATGTACATGTGTAACTAACAAAAATCCACATAGAGAACAACATTACCAGAGGAACCAGCAGATTTTGCACCTTGTCTTGCTTTACTATTAGGGGTGCTGGCCTGTTCTGTACGGGTCTTTGAGGCCTGGGAGACTGTGCGTGACTTCTTTGAGCTGACTTTACTGGCACGAGAATCATGTCTCTCAGGTGGAGCATCATCATGGTCGGCTAGACGACCTAGTCTACTGAACGATGACCTATATATAAAACATTATAAACAATGCAAATAAATTTCGTAACTTTTTGTTTCATATTTCATTTTTTGTCACCTTAGAGCAATAATAGGAAAAAGTCCTTCTAAATATAATTGGAGTTAACCACTTATTGCTCTAAGGTGACGATGTACATTTTAAGATTTATCCACAAAAAGCCAGTGACGCCTCCAGTCATTGATCACACTCTGGCTATATTCTCTCATATATCCTAGTCTACTGAAGGGTGACCTATATATGATATATTCAGTGCAAATTAATCTCTTGAATCTTAATCGGTAGACATGTTCTTTATCTAATCTTATCTATATAATAATAATAATAATAATAATAATAATAAAGACTTTATTTAAAGAGGCAACATAGTTAGGCAAGCCCAGTCTTCCCTATGAGCCTCTATTAAAATGTACATATATATACAGTTACAGACAGAAGATTTATATAAACAAAAAATGAAAAAGAAAACTTAATGTATACAAGCTATACAACATAGAAAAGTAGAGTTATTGAAAAATGCAATAAGAAAATGAATATAAACATTTGAAAGTATGAAAGTGTACATTTTATGAGACATACATGTATATATGTGATATTAAAACAATAGCTAGATTATTTGATGCCCACCAGAGAACCACCATTTTAGTTTTTAATGTTTGTAAGTTGGAAGAATTTCTTATGTTTAAAGGGAGGGAGTTCCAAAATTTTGAGCCTGAGTATGATAGGGATTTTCTAGAGAATTCAATATATAAGATTTATCATCTGAAAAGCAACCCCCTTAGGGCAAAGATATCTCTTAAAAAGCTGCCAATAAGGTCAAAGAAATCATTCTGACTATATTCTCTTATATATCCCATCAGCAAACTTTATAACTACATGTTATAATATAGGGACGATAATATATTATTAAATACATACTCTCCACAAATCCTTTTTTTTAATCATTCAGAACAGGTCTTTTTAACATACTGGTTGACCATGTCTAAATATTCTCATAAGATTTTGTTGTTCCACTTTTAATATATACTTAAACATGCATTTTCTAAACACAAGATATTAATTTCATGGCACAACATCAATATAATTAGGTGTACTCACCTTCCATCAAAATCATCATCTCTCTTAACCACACCAACTAAAGTATGAGGGGTTGGGGATGATGCCCCCTGCCCTCCAGCCAGTTTATCCCCACTGGCTCGAGACCCAGGTTTCTCAACAGCAGGTGTTGGGTCTGTAAACAAAATTTGAAATTTAACTTACAACATCAGTACTGATAAAAAATATAAAACCATCTTCTTTAGTAAGAATTTTGTGTGGCCTTTAACATGTATTTATATGAGTTACAGTTTGACAGCAGACTGGTTTGTTTATTACCTTTTTCTAAAAAAAAACCAACTTTAAAGCCCAATTTTCTAAAAAAAAAAGCCCCATTTTCTAAAAACAACAACTTTAAAGCCCCATTTTCTAAAAAAAATAAAATTGATATATGTTTCATTGGTTAGCTTCATTTAGAGTGAAACAAAGTTTGTTTCCCAAAATTTGACTTAGAAACTAAGATATATGCATCTGAACATTGAAGTGACAATCAGTTTATTAATAGCTTTAGCAATATAGTTCTCATTAGTAGTACAGGAATATTTTTTTCTTTAACAGTTGATGAGAGGTGGGCCACAAAGGGTAAACGCAAATATAAATAAACATTTGTATGAGCACCTAATTATGCATAGAGTTGTTCAGAACCTATTTAGGTATTTTTTCTTTAAAGTTTTTAGGAAATCAATATAAAACAGTTTATTTAATTTTCTGTTAAATACAAAAATCATCAGACAATTTCAGAATTGCTTATTTTGTTAAGCTGAATTGCTTGAACTTTTCTGATTTTTCCCCTTTTATGATAAACACAACAATATAACTTTAATAGGTTAATATAAATACAACAGATCGGACATCAAGGCTACAGTCAATGAATTTAAGATTTTGAATTTACTAGCCCAAATTCCAGTTTTGTTCTTATTCTACTATACATGTATATTTAAATAATTTTCTTAAAATTTTCAATGGCCCAAACTATTTTCACTGGCCATGGGCCACCAGGCCAGTGCTAAATTCGATAACTGCCAAGCTAAGTTCCGGGCCAGTGCTAAATTCGATAACAGTTGTCAAGCTATGTTAAGATTTGGTTCTCTCAAACTTTTATGGGAATTAAAAACAAATGAACTATGAAAAATCTGCAGTGAAAAAAGGGTACATCAGTTACTTAAAATTGTTTTCAATTCTGAACAGTTTTGGCAGACTGCCAATTTTATATTTTTACACATTATATCTTGGGCAGTTGTGACAAAATGCTATATCACCGCATTAATATAACAAAAGTAGATTATTTTTGTTTCTATGCAATTGAACTTTGCCACAATGAACTAGTGACTTTGGTGGGTCAGCATGTCGCATGAAAGACAATTTGAGCCGCGTCATGACAAAACAAACATAATGGGTTTGCGACCAGCATGGATCCAGACCATCCTGCGCATCCGCGCAGTCCGATCAGGATCCATGCTGTTCGCTTACCAACTCTATTACAAGTAGAGAAACTGATAGCGAACAGCATGGATCCTGATCAGACTGCGTGGATGCGCAGGCTGGTCTGGATCCATGCTGGTCGCAAACGCATTACGTTGGTTATGTCATGACGCGGCTCATTTGCAGATGTGTCTAATGTAAAGATACAAAGACCATACTGTGCAAAAATTTATTTAAAAAAAATAAAACAAGGAAGTAAGTGACACTTTGTCAAAATCTAGGTTAGCTATCAATTTTACATCTCAAACTGTGCAATTATGGTCCATTTCATAGTTGTACTATCAAAGGACAAGAAAGTAGGTTACTGTCACCCACTCGGCAGGGCATAATTTGACCCAAAGACTTTAATTAAAACAATCTTGATACAGGTTCACCAGACAATGTTTCATGTCCAATATCTAAGCTCTAGCTTTTTCTATTTCAGAAAATAGTTTTTGTTTCTGATTTTACTATCTGTGCATAATGAAAATCAATGACCCCCAGGGTGGGACCAATTCAGAACCAAGGGCTATTATTTGAACAATCTTGGTAGAGGTCCACTACACTATGTTTCATGCCAAATATATAATCTTTAGTCTATGTCAATTAAAACCCCTGTCACACTAAGGCAGTGTTCTCACAGCATCCATACACAAGATGGCCAAGATGGCCCTAGATCACTCACCTGACTAATCAAACTCATCCAAGCAATTTGCATTAACTAGACAAGCATCCTGACAAAGTTTGATGACAATTGAGTCAAAAATGTGACCACTAGAGTGTTAACAAAGTTATTCCATATTTTTGGGGTGTGTGACCTAGTTTTTGATCCCAGCTGACGTATATTTCAACTTGACCTAGAAATCATCAGAACAAACTTGCACACCAATTTCCAGGATATTTGGATAACAACAGTAGCCACTAGAAAGTTAACAGGGTTTTTCTATTTTTAGCTCCTGTGACCTAGTTTTTCATCCGAAATGACCAATGTTCGAACTCATCCTTGGATTACCTAGACAAGCATCCTAACATGGTTTGATGATGAATGAGTCAAAATGTGACCACTAGAGTGTTAACAAGTTTTGTCCATATTTGTGCAGTGTGACCTAGTTTTTGACCCTAGGTAACCCATATTCGAACTTGACCTAGAAATCATCAGAACAAACTATCAGACCAATTTCCAGGATATTTGGATCACATCAGTCGCCACTTAAAGTGTTAACGAGATTTTTCTATTTTTTCCTGTGACCTAGTTTTTCATCTGAGATGACCCATGTTCGAAATCATCCAAGCAATTACCTAAACAAGCATCATGACAAAGTTTGATGATGATTAAGGCAAAAATGTGACCGCTAGAGTGTTAACGAACAAATGTGGATGGATGACAGACGAGGGACGACAGACGACGGACATTCAACAATCCTAAAAGCTGAGCGTGAGCTAGCTCAGGTGAGCTAAAAATTCAGAACGCCGAGGTGTGCGCAGTAAGATCGCAAATATCACCACAGCATCATAGTGGCATTGCATAGAACGCCAAACGAGGGCACGCATTTTGAGCATGCTCAAAACAAACAAGTAGAAGTAGAACGCAGTCCACACACAGACAATTGAAATTTTAAACGCTGTGGAAGCTCAGTAGCATCAGCATGATCGCCGTGAGGACGCTTTGAAGACGCCGTGAAGTTTCCATGTCATCAGAACAATCCCATTTTTAATGTGATCTCGCGGCGCTTCATTAAATTGAACAATGCCGTGCAAACGCAGTGGTCGCACAGCCTTGTGTGACAGGGCCTTAGAGATTTCTAAAACTTTTACTACATACATATAAGGAAAACATATGACACCCAGAGCGAGGCCAATTTTGACACAAGGGGCAAAATTTGAACAACTTTGGTAGAGCACAAATATATATGATATTTTATAATACTGCACGTTTGTAACATCACTTTTAATTGGATAATTGTGACGATTATAAAGTTTTATATACACAGCTGCTGTCAATTTATGAAGAAATCTCATTTTTATTTTTTTCTTAACAAAAAGAAGTTTGCTGTATTACCAATTGGTTATAAATATTCCTGACAGGTTATATGAACGTATATATATGATTGTTTGCAATATAAACCTCGCCTTGCAGCTCAGGTTATATTTCCAAACAACCATTTATATGATAGGACCATATAACCTGTCAAAAATACTTATAACTAATAATTTACCAAATATCAAAGCTCTAAGCTTGTATTTTCAGACAAGAAGATTTTTTAAAGTTTTTACTATATGTAGATAGTGAAATCAATAACCCCAGGGGTGGGCCAATTTGGACCCCAGGGCTATAATTGAACAATCTTTATAGAGGTTACCAAGACTATGCCATATGCAAAATATCTAAGCTGTAGACATTGTGGGTCTTTACAAAAAGATTTTTTTTAAATTTTCTTAAAATTCCTTTTGGTTGCCATAGCAACCAGATTTCTTCACGGAATCAAATTCTTTGAACAACTTTGAAAGACATTCACCCAAGGAACAATCCTGCCAAGTTTGGTTGAAATTAGACAAGTAGGTTTTCACAAGAAGGTTTTTTTTTAAAGTTCACTACAGTATATCATCTATATAACAGGCAAATATACAAACACACACACACGCAGGTGAATCACTATATGCCACTGCATTACATATGCTGCGGTGGCATAAAAACAAAGTTGGAATAAATTATTGGTGATATTAATGAACTTTTTTTCACATTTTTGTTCTTCTTCTTAGGACTGAATATCCCCTGCCTACTTCTTAATTAAAGCGTTCCTTTTCAGTTGTCACCAACTTTCTTTTTGATAATAATATGCTGCTTGCTTTGAAATTTGTAAGTCTGTCAATAATAACATTGTTACTTTTCTATGCCATCTTTTTAACAATTGCAAAGAGTTTACAAAATTGACATATTTTGTGAGCTTGTCTTCATCATCTGAATGAAAACACAGATAAAGAATTTTTATATAAATATGTCAATTGTACTTTCATCACAAACCAGACATGAATAGAGCATTATAAGAAATCAAAATATTACTGCTACATTTCTTTAATTATAACCACTGAAAATATAAAAGTATTTTTTTTTTAAACCTGTGGTCGAGCTGATCATTATCAGTTTTCATTCTTGTTAAATGATTTTTTCATGGAAAGACATTTATTCTTAAAATTGTTTAGGTTATTTACTTCCTGGTGTTTATTACTTTATAAATATCATAATGTTAAACCAAGCTGATGTAAATACTTAAACCTGTGTATTTAAACAAGGTTGATCATTTGGAAGTTAGAGTAGACTTTACCGATAAAGATACAATCTTTGTAGGGTGAACCTTTGCAAATAACTTAGCAAAATATTGGAGATGATAATTATACATAGAAAGGAATAAGTTAAATATCATTACAGGAGTAAAACTTAAGAACTGTGAATAAATGGTGTTGCTGGAAATTATAATGTTTAAAATGACTGTGAAACGAAATTGGGACAGCTTTATCAGTGAATAGATCAGTTCAGATTACACATTGAATAAAATATCTACAAAATGGCTACTGGTAAACAAATAGATACGGATATTCTTTCCGATGAAATATTTGATGTTTTATGTTCAATGTGTAAAAATAAAGGGAAAAATACTGAAGGTGAAAAATACTGTGTAGACTGTAAGGATTATTTCTGTATAACTTGTGTTCAAGTACATGGTCAAGTGCCTCTGTGTGCTAGTCACAAGGTGCTGGATAAATCTCAAGTTAAGTCAGGAACCAGCAAAGGTCTGCCGAGGGCACCAACAGAGAGATGTGACAGACACAGTCATAAACACATTGATATGTACTGTCAGAACCATGATAATGTTGGATGTTCTACATGTATGACTGTTGATCATAGGTAAAATTTAATAATTAAACATCTATAGATAATAATTTAAATAAAAGTGACATTATTCTAATTTTTTAGCTCACCTGAGCATATGCTCAGGGTGAGCTATTAGGATCACTCTTCGTCCGTCGTCCGTCGTACGTTGTCCGTTCACACTTTTCAAACGACATCTCCTCTGAAACCATAAGGCAGATCATAATGAAACTTCACAGGGATGTTCCTTGTGTGAAGCCTTAACAAAGTTGTTCAAAGAATTCCATTCCATGCAGAACTCTGGTTGCCATGGCAACCAAAAGAAAAAACTTTAAACATCTTCTTCTAGAAAACCCAAAGAGCTAGAGCTTAGATATTTGGCATGAAACATCTTCTAGTAAGTGTCTACCAAGATTGTTCAAATAAAATCCCTGGGGTCAAAATTGGCCCCGCCCCAGGGGGTCATTGATTTTCCCTATATGCATATAGTAAAAACTTAAAAAAATCTTCTTTTAAAGTACCCAAAGAGCTAGAGCTAAGATATTAAGCATGAAACATCTTCTAATGAGTGTCTACCAAGATTGTTCAAATAAAAGCCCTGGGGTCAAAATTTGCCCCGCCCCAGGGGGTCATTGATTTTCCCTATATGCATATAGTAAAAACTTAAAAAATCTTCTTCTAAAAAACCCAAAGAGCTAGAGCTTAGATATTTAGCATGAAACATGTTCTAATGGATGTCTACTAAGTTTGTTCAAATAAAAGCCCTGGGGTCAAAATTAGCCCCGCCCCAGGGGGTCATTGATTTTCCCTATATGCATATAGTAAAAACTTAAAAAAATTTCTTTTAAAGAACCCAAAGAGCAAGAGCTAAGATATTTGGCATGAAACATCTTCTAATAAGTGTCTACCAAGATTGTTCAAATAAAAGCTCTGGGGTCAAAATTGGCCCCGATCCAGGGGGTCATTGATTTTCCCTATATGCATATAGTAAAAACTTAAAAAATCTTCTTCTAAAAAACCCAAAGAGCTAGAGCTTAGATTTTTGGCATGAAACATGTTCTAATGAATGTCGACCAAGTTTGTTCAAATAAAAGCCCTGGGGTCAAAATTGGCCCCGCCCTAGGGGGTCATTGATTTTCCCTATATGCATATAGTAAAAACTTAAAAAAAATTCTTTTAAAGAACCCAAAGAGCTAGAGCTAAGATATTTAGCATGAAACATCTTCTAATGAGTGTCTACCAATTTTATTCAAATAAAAGCCTTTGGGTCAAAATTAGCCCCGCCCCAGGGGGTCATTGATTTTCCCAATATGCATATAGTAAAAACTTAAAAAAATCTTCTTTTAAAGAACCCAAAGAGCTAGAGCTAAGATATTAAGCATGAAACATCTTCTAATGAGTGTCTACCAAGATTGTTCAAATAAAAGCCCTGGGGTCAAAATTGGTCCCGCCCCAGGGTGTCATTGTATTTAACTATATGTGTATAGTAAAAACTTAAAAAAAATGTTCTTTTAAAAAACCCAATGAGCTAGAGCTTAGATGTTCAGCATGAAACATCTTATGGGTGTCTACCAAGTTTGTTCAAATAAAAGCCTTTGGATTAAAATTGGCCCTGCCAGGGGGTGGGGGTGGGAAGGTCATTGTTTTTCATTACATGTGTGTAGTAAAAACTTAACATCATGAAACATCTTCTAATGGGTGTCTTCCAAGTATGTTCAAATAAAAGTCCTGGGGGTTTAAACTGGCCCCGCTCCAGGGGCCTATATACAGGTGAGCGACCTCAGGGCCATCATGGCCCTCTTGTTTTATTGTTAAGTTGAGCTGAATTATTTATTTCACATGATGGACTGTTATAATGGTGATTAATGCAAAAATGATATTAGAAATTGTTCAGGATAAAACATAAATCTATCAGAAATATAAAGACTGCCCCCACTCTCTTTATAAACTGAATGTTACAGGAAATTCTGATGGATATTTATATACTCTTGGATGGACATAATGTCACTTAAATATATGAAATGTTTAATAGGTATTAACAAACCTTACATAATATTCTATCGTAAATACTGATATGTAGAAGAGAATAAAAATATTTAATATTACCTCCTCAGTCATTCCATAGCCTTATATTCACAAACTGTCATAACATATTTTTCAGATTATGCAAGGACACATTCTACATACCAGAATTTATCCAAAACAATACTTTCCAAGTTGCATCCAGAGAAATTCAATCAAAACTGAAAACCTAAATCAAGACACTTGCAGAACAAGCGGATAGATTTAAACATGATAAACAAAGGCTGCTAAAGAGAAAAGCAGAAATACTGTCTGATATCAGAAGATTCCGTCAAGAAATCAATGAATATCTTGACAAGTTGGAGAAAAGTTCTATCGATATGATAGAAAATAAAGTCAAATGTCTTGAGGACAAAATAGAAGATGGTCTCAAACAGCTACAAGCACACAAGTCCAGGGTTACATCAGCTAATGATAAATTAGCATCACCAAAAACCACAGATCAAGCTGAAGAATTTGTTTATGTCAAGATGGGAGAAAATGCTGCAAATAATGCCAACAAATATATAGAAGATGCAAGATGCAAAATTAAAAAGTACTGTGAAAGACGTATATTTTCAACCTGATAGAACAATTCTTACACAGCTAGAACAAATGAAGACCCTAGACACACTATCAGAAAAACCTACAAAAGCTTCTGTTACTTTATTTCAGATTAAAAGACATCAATTATATAATGTAAAAGTTAAGTCTGATAAAGTAAATTGTCATATTGCCAGTGCCTGCTGTATGGAAGATGGTACAATAATTCTAGCTGATTACAGAAACAACAAGCTTAAACGGTTACACAGTCACAACTATACTGTCACAGACTACTACGATCTACCTGGACAGCCACATCAAGTGTGTATGATCAATAACACACAAGTTGCAGTAACTCTTCCATCCCAAAATGAAGTTCATTTCATTTCTCTTAGAGGTAAAATGAAAACAACAAACAAGATTAACACTGATTTTAAATGTCATGGTCTTGCATATGCAAACAATAATTTATATATTTCAGATTGGTACACATCAGTATATATGTATACATTGTCTGGTAGGAAGCTTAATCAGATCACTAAAGATCAATCAGGACATCAGCTGTTCTATAACATACAATGTCTAGCTGTCAGTAAGGATGCTACTAGGATTTATGTCGCTGACTGGTTTAATGGACTGATAGTACTGGACAACAATGGTCAGGTTGTTACATCATTTAATGATGATGAACAATTAAAGAATGCTACATGTTGTTATCTCACTGAAGCAGGTAGTGTGCTGGTATCTGGAGTTGTCTCCAAAAAAGTTTTACAGTTTACATGTGATGGTGAGCTGATAGGAGAGGTTATAAAAGCTGATAGTAGAAAAGAGAACATTAGATCAGTCTGTTGTAATCAACAAATGACAAAGATGTATATAAGCAGATGTGGAAATGACAACATTGAAGTGCATGATATCTAATCTTTTAAGTAAATATATGAACCACTATCAATAAAAATATTATTTAAAGAATATCCTGGTTCATATATAAAATTCAATATTTAAACAGAAAATGTAAAAGAAAAACACAGTCACATAAATAACTTGATTGTGACAAGTACATGACTTTTGTATATTATACATGTTCAATATGTTATGATACTACTTAAGTTTAATTCATTGTGAATATACATGAATTGTGTTGTAGAAATTTATTTGATTTATCATATACATAGTATTCTTGCATTATAATTTATACCAAAATTTATATATTTTTAAAACTGTATGTTGTGTAACTTAGATGGTGTTTATGAGTGAAATAAATGTAGAATTTAAACATATTTTTCATCTATATTGGAATTGTTTCATTTCTATGACTTCAAAAGTTACGTAATTTTATGTGCTTTCCTCCTTTTAAAGTAAATAAACCTCAAAGGCCCAGTACACTAAAAAATAAATGTTATTTTTCAAAAGAGGTTTACCCATTCACTAAGTTATGGAAAGAAAAACTGCCTAAAAAATCTAAACACAGTTACATCACTTAGCCACAGAGGTATGACCTTTTGTTATTGGAAAAATATAAGTTTGTAAGTCATTCCTATGACTTATGGTGAAAAATATTCAACTGACCAATAAAACTTTATCAAATATATTTATGAATACATGTAAATGCAAAACCTTGGCCTTGAAAACTCCATACAAACTTTAAGGACCACCATAGGTATGCTCTTTTAAGACATTGGTGAAAAATACAAAGGCTGTATACAAAAAGTGTAAAAAAATCTATTGCTAGCACAAGTGACCTTGACCTTGTGACTCCCAACACTGGACCATCCAAGGTATGTTCCATCCAAATATGAAAAACATCAGTCTATAAATAAAGGCTGTATAAGCAAATATGTAGAAATCTATTTTTGGCATCCTTGATCTTGACCCACTGACCCCTAACTCAATCCAAAGGCAGAAGTCTATACAAGATATGTTCCTACCAAATATGGAAAACATTTCTCCATTAATACAGGATGTATGGTTAAAAATGTAAATACTTATTTTATTGACCTTGATCAGACTGACCTATAACACAATCCAGAGGAAGTATGAACAAGAACTGTCGGAGGACAGTAACGCTTGACTATTCTAAAAGTTGTCACAAGGGTGTTTCATTGAGTATAATAATGCTTACCTATATGAATACATAAAATTGTCAAAAAAGGTACAAAGGCTTGTTATTAAGATGTTTTATCGAGTTAATCACTGCTTTATTATTATGAATGCATAAAATTGTTCCAAAAAAGGCACAAACCCTTCAATAGTTATGGAGATACCAGCTTACAAGCAGAAACTTTACCTAGAATTTCTAAGTCAAAAAAGGGGCATAATTATGCAAAAAAGCAAATCAAAGTTATGGGACTTGTGCCAATCATCTTAGAAATTCAAAGAGAACAAATGTGTGAAGTTTCAATCCATTCCCTTCAGTAGTTATGGAGATACCAGCTTACAAGCAAAAACTTAAGTTGAAAAAGGGGCATAATTATGTAAAAAAGCAAATCAGAGTTATGGGACTTGTGCCAATCATCTTACATAATCACAGAGAACAAGCGTGTGAAGTTTCAACCAATTCCCTTCAGTAGTTATGGAGATACCAGCTTACACACAAAAACTTAACCAAGAATTTCTAAGTCGAAAAAGGGGCATAATTATGTAAAAAAGCAAACAGAGTTATGGGACTTGTGCCAATCATCTTAGATAATCACAGAGAACAAGTGTGTGAAGTTTTAATCCATTCCCTTCAGTAGGTATGGAGAAACCAGCTTACACGCAAAAACTTAACCACAGGGACGCCAACGCGGACAAATGGGTGACTGCTTTAGCTCGATTATTCTGCGAATACTCGAGCTAAAAACCTTTAGGAAAAATATAAAGGCTGTATAAGCAAATGAGTAGACATCTACACTGTTTTATTATTAACCTTGACCCAATTTACCCCTAACTCCATCCAAAGAAAGAAGATTTTTCAATTGTATGTTCCTACCAAATAATAAAGAAATCAGTTGATAGAATAAGTTTACTCATGTAAAAGTGTAAAATTCTATTTTTGACATTGGTAACCTTGACCAAAATGACCACTAATTGAAACCAAAAGAAGAGGACCTCCCTTGGCATGTCTATATTATCAAATGGGCCAAGATGGCTCTAGATCGCTCACCTGACCCATAATTTCATTGTAGGTTAAGCGATATCAAAAATATCAGAAGTACCATATTGTTTCTAATTAATGCCCCCACCACATTTTGTAGGAAAAAACTCTTACCTAATAGATTTATAATCAATAATAAAAGAACAGTAAAAAAATCCAATTATTTTTATTTAAAATAACAATTAATGACTCTCCATGATGTAAAATCATTGAAAAATATTATCCTGTGTTTTATATTAGATCATAATAATGAATAATGATTTTTATAATTGAGTTATATCTTTGATAAACATTTTTTAAAGCACATTTTAACAGTTCCAATTAGTTTCCCCCCTTTTGAAAAAATCAACGCCCAGGGGCGTTAAACAGAGACAATATGGTATGTCAGCTGATATCAAAATTAATATCAGCATAAAAATTACAATCCTGGTCCAAATTTCAAATCTGTGTGTCAAACAACAAGAAAGAACCTCAAATGAGATCAAAAATATCAAAAGTAGGTCAGATAATATCAAAATTCAAGTTAACATCAGAAATTACACCAAAAAAATCAAGAAAGTAGGTCAAATGATATCAATAATATCAAAAGTAGGTCATTTAATATCAAAATTCAATTTGGCATCAGAAATCACACCTAAGGTCCATTTTTCAAGTCTGTACATCAAAAAACAACAAGAATGCATTTGTGAAACAAGAGCACCGCTAGGCGGAGCATTATATGCCCGAAAGTGTTTTGTTTTTTTTAGTTTTAGTAAGCATTTGTAAGACATGGGAATAAGCTGTTCATCCTATAAAATTTTACAGCTGTAGGTTGATTAATACTTAAGTTATTAACAATGACCTTAACCTTTGACCTTGTGACCCCAAAATCAATAGGGGTCTTCTACCTTATATGGACAATTATCCTAGGAAGTTTGAATATTGTGGGCCAATTGGAACTTTAATTATGCTCTAGAAACTGTTTTCAGTATTAAGGTAAAAGTGACTTTGACCTTTGACCTTGTGACCCCAAAAAATCAATAGCGGTCTTCTACCCAATATGGACAATCATCCTATGAAATTTGAATATAGTGGGCCAAATGGAACTTATGTTATGCTCCGGAAACTGTTTTTGGTTTTAAGGTAATTGTGACCTTGATATTTGACCTAGTGAACCCAAAAATCAATAGGGGTCTTTTGCCCAATATGGACAATCATCCTATGAAGTTTGAATATTGTAGGCCAAATGGAACTATGCTCCGAAAACTGTTTTCAGTTTTAAGGATATAGTGACCTTGACCCTTGACCTTTTGACCCCAAAATCAATAGGGGTCTTCTACCCAATATGGACAATCATCCTATGAAGTTTAAACATTGTGGGCCAAATGGAACTTAAGTTATGCTCCGGAAACTGTTTTCAGTATCAAGGTAATAGTGACCTTGACCTTTGACCTTGTGACTCCAAAATCCAATAGGGGTCTTCTACCCAATATGGACAATCATCCTATGAAGTTTGAACGTTGTGGGTCAAATTGAACTTATGTTATGTTCCGGAAACTGTTTTCAGTATCAAGGTAATAGTGACCTTGACCTTTGACCTTGTGACCCCAAAATCAATAGGGGTCTTCTACCCAATATGGACAATCATCCTATGAAGTTTGAACATTGTGGGTCGAATGGAACTTAAGTTATGCTCCGGAAACTGTTTTCAGTTTTAAGGTCATTGTGACCTTTACCTTTAACCTTTCGACCCCAAAATCGATAGGGGTCTTCTACCCAATATGGACAATCATCCTATGAAGTTTGAACATTGTGGGTCGAATGGAACTTAAGTTATGCTCCGGAAACTGTTTTCAGTTTTAAGGTCATAGTGACCTTGACCTTTGACCCCAAAATCAATAGGAGTCTTCTACCCAATATGGACGATCATCCTATGAAGTTTGAACATAGTGGGCCAAATGGAACTTCAGTTATGCTCCGGAAACCAAATTGCTGATGGACGGACGTACCAATTTTTCAGGTTTATGAGCTATTTCAATTGTTCTTTTCTTTTGTTTTCTTGTGGGCTAACTATTGTTTCCTTATGAGATAACTATTATTTACGGAATGAAGTCCTTTGTTCTCTTTTGTCCCAGTGTACCGTAAATTAGGAGAGTAATAATGTGGCTACTCTATTGTTTTCTCTATTGTTCTTTTTAGCCACACAAAAGAAAATAGCCACATAAAATCATTACGGAATGAATGACATCAAAGAGAAAGAACAGTTACCTATTGTCCCTCTAGCCACATAATTACTGTCCTGTGAGTGCGGACAGACAGACAGACGGACGCCAGGGGGTATAACATAATATGCCATTTCGGGCATATAATAAAAATACTATGCCACCGCATTAATATTACAGAAGTATAATAATATTTCAGCATGTCAAATCATTAGACACATGTGCAGATGTGTCTAATGTTAAGATACAAAGGCCATAGTGCTATAGTTGATTCAAACATAAAAGAATTCTTTATTGACAAAAAATAGGTATTAAGTGTATAACAGCTGTACATTGTATTAAACTTTGAAATGCAGGTACAGACTCACTCCCAGCTATTGAATATTTTACATAAAAATGTATAACATGTATCACACATTCCAATGTATGTTGTTTCCTTTCACATGACACAAAAAGACTTTTTTTCTAGATGTACATAATGAAAATCAATGACTCCCTAGGGCGGGGCCAATCTTGACCCAAGGGCTTTAATTTGAACAATCTTTGTAGAGGTCTACTACACAATGTTTCATGCCAAATATCTAACCTCTAGCCTTTGTCAATTCAAAGAAGAAGATTTTTTAAGATTTTACTATATACATATATGGAAAAAATATGACCCCCGGAGCGGGGCCAATTTTGACACAAGAGATGAAATTTGAACAACTTTGGTAGAGGACCTATAGATGATATCATATACCAAAAATCAAAGCTCTAAGCCGCTTGTACCTTTAGACAAGAGATTTTTTAAAGTTTTTACTATATGTACATAGTGAAAATCAATTACCACCGGGGTGAGGCCAATTTTGACCCCAGGGCTATAATTTGAACAATCTTGGTAGAGGTCTTCCAGACAGTGCCTTATTCAAAATATCTTAGGTCTGGGCCGTGTGGGTCTTTACAAGAAGATTTTTTAAATTTACTCTTATCATTCCTTTTGGTTGCTATGGCAACCAGATTTCTGCATGGAATTAAATTCTTAAAAAAAATTTGAAAGCCCTTCACCCAAGGAACAATCCTGTTTGGTTGAAATTAGACTAGTAGTTTTTCACAAGAAGATTTTTTAAGTTCACTATATAATTTATATAACACACGCACACAGGCGCACACAAACACACACACACACAGGTGAATCGCTATATGCCATCGCAGATACTGCGGTGGCATAAAAACATTTATTTAACCTCTTTTCTTGTGTCCTGGTGGGTCCGGTTTTTGGAATGTTATCTCTTTTGGCAATGGTCGAATGTCACGTGCCTTTTTTGGCTGCATGTCGGTAAAACTTCTACACTGTGTCATCACCATTCCTTTAACCCCTCCCATGTCTTCTACATCCTCACCTGCGTTGCCGTGGTAATAAATAAACAACTTATTTCATTACTAAGAAAAACATCATAAAAAAAAAATTCAGGAAGAATAATAACCATTAGACTTTTTTCTTTCAATTTGCAGCGCTTTCTTAAGTACATGAAAGAATAAACAGTATGTGAAAGTATGAAAATTTTAACTTAAATGATATAAGCAAACTGTATATGAGTAAAGTTCATCAATAATAATAAAGCAGTTAAGCAGATAATGAAAATGTTACCATCTTCTTTTATGATTATTTTCTGCATTACTGTACCACAAATCATTTCTCCGCCACTTCTTTTTGTTGACTTTATACTTCTAAAATTGAATCTTGTTTACATGGACACATTTTGTCCAGTATAACTCTAGCAACCTTAAACTGTCTTGAAAAAGATTTTGAAACTAATAATTGTCTATAGGTTATCTCCTAAAATATATGACGATTTTCATTTACCTGATTTTAAACTCGGAAGTTTAAACAGTTTTGGACGGTCAAACTTAGCCCTCATGCCAACTTTATCCTTGGTATCCCAAACTCTTAGCTCCAGGGTGTGGTTATACAACTTTAATAATACGTCCTTGGTAACAAATAGCTTGTGCCTGAAAATTTGAGAAAGAAACATGACATGAAAATATTAACCTTCTGAAATCGAAAATAATTATCCTTGAATATCAGGCAGGATTATCTAATGTTTACACAGGTGCTAGAAAAACCTGTCGTACACCCCCTGTGTAAGACAAATTGTTTGCCTTAAACAGATAGGCAGGAATGTATTGCTCTTGAGTAACTGTTTAGCGGAAACTTGGCAGACCCTTGTTACAGCTGTAAACAGTTACTCTTGACCAAGATATTCTGGTCTGTACTAGATCCTTATAGCCTTTGCCACCTGTATAGAACCCGGCCAGCCTGCACATCCTTACAGTCCTGTACTGTTTGGTAGCTCAATATTTATATTTTTTAAAATGAAATCCCTTAAACTTTGAATGGACTGTTCCAAATTCAAAGCCGGGCAAATCCATTTTCACAAATTCAGCTGGTTAAGAGTTAAAATTGTGAGCTTACGAAATTATTTAGTCAAACTAATGTAAATAGCATCATTTAGGAGCTGATTTTAATCAGATTGCAAAATAATTCAGACTGTTTAGTTATTAAATTATATCTAACTGAAGAAATCAAATAAATCCTCTTCAAACATGAAACTGAAAACTGTATGAATATTTAAATAATCTATTCATCAAGTCCACTAAAAAGAGTATAACTAGTATTTTTTTGATTGGAGAAAACATTATGCTGTGGCTCTACAGCATGGCTTAGAACTCTTTGAGTGCTAATAAAGACTTGCTGATGGATATCAACAGTGTACGCCCAGACTTGCATAAATCTTGCACTTTAATACTAGTAATGATAGCTGCATAACTTAAATTTGTTGAAATCCCTTATACTAGTATTAGTTAAAAAGATTTTTGGCAGGTTATATGGCCCTATCTAAATGGTTGTTTGGAAATATAACCCCAGCAGCTAGGTTGCAAACACCCATTTATATATGGTCATATAATCTGTCAGGGATATTTATAACAAATTAATAATAAAACAAATTTCATTTTTAGGGAAAAAAGTGAGAATTCTTCATAAATTGACAACAGCCGTGTATATAAAACTTTATAATTCTGCACGTTTGTAACGTCATTTTTCATTGGATAATCGTGACGTTTATATAGTTTTATATACACGGCTGCTGTCGATTCATGAAGAAATCTTCCTTTTTTCTCTAAAAAATGATGCTTGCTGTATTATAAATTTGTTATAAAGATCGTTGACAGATTATATGGTCCTATATAAACGGCTGTTTGCAATATAACCCTCGCCTAACGGCTCGTGTTATATTTACAAATAGCCGTTTATATAGGACCATATAACCTGTCAACGATCTTTATAACTAATAATATAAACTTCAATATCATCCAATGAAAATCCACATTACAAACACGCAATATTACAATAAATTTACAAGTTACTAACAATGGATAATTCAAAACTCAAAACGGAATAAAACAAGTAAGATGTCCGAATGGTAAAGGTAAAGCTGAAAATAATAAATGAGCTGCGCCATGACAAAACCAACATAATGGGTTTGCGACCAGCATGGATCCAGACCAGCCTGCTCATCCGCGCAGTCTGATCAGGATCCATGCTGTTCGCCATCAGTTTCACTAATTGTTATAGGGTTTGTAAGCGGATTTATAAAAATACAAACATCTGTGCCATACTTTTAAGTCCATGCTATGCCATGTGACATCTCCATCATGCCATACTTTCTTCACAATAGCGTCTTGTTTTTCCATGTAAATTTTCGCTCCCATACCATACGTAACAACATCAGTTTTCATAACATCATCATTATCCGGCACAAGGTAATACTCGAAATGGTAGTAATTCTGGGCCTTCGGTGCCTCATACACTCGCTTCTTTTTCTTTATAAGATCTTGGATATCAGGCTGATCGTCATCATCAACTGATTAGTGAAAATATGAAAAATATCTCATTCCAAACCCTTCGAGATTTCCAATAATTATAAAGTTAAACTTGAATTATATGATTAAAATGGCCATGCTAGCTTACTTTGTACTGAGTCTTATGACAGTTTATATTGATATACAGCTGGCTTTTCAATTGAGTATTTTAATATTGAAACGCCTGCAATTAACAATGGATTGTTCCAAATTTAAAACAAGGAAAGTTCATTGTTCAAATATAGCAGAAAAAAATTTAAATAAAATTTTTAAAATTTGGTATTTTAATATTGAAACGCCTACAATAAACAATGGATTGTTCCAAATTTATAGCATGAAAGTTCATTGTTCAAATATAGCAGAAAAAATTTCAATATAATTTTTAATATTTTACAGCAAAATTTCTAAATAAGGGCTGCGAATCAGTTTTCAAATTTTTAAATCTTTACTTCTGTACTAAGCAGTATGTAAACTAATCTTATCTCAATAAGTTTGACAAACAAAATGTTTTGTAAAATTTTTAATTTTTCCTTTTTAATTCATTTTTAAAATATTTTGTTACATTAAAATTGTTCCTTTTTTTCAATGGGAAATCATCCTTAGTAATATACATGTATACCCACACTACCTCAAATAATGTTGTAAAAAGATACATGTAATAAGTTAATAGTACATAATTAGTTAATAAAGTAAATACTGGGTACCTGTAATGAAATTAGTAACTTTTATTTAAAGAAGGTTCTGTTTCAAAATTTACATGGGTAAAAATCTATATGATATTTTTAATACAATGCTACTCTGTATAAAATCTGTGTAAATCTTTGTAAATTTATGTAAGTCTGTTTAAATCTGTGTAAATCTATGTAAAATTATGTAAGTATGTTTAAATCTGTGTAAATCTATGTAAATAGATGTAAATATTTTATTTTAGTTTAGTTATTAAAAGCAGCTGTTTCAAAAGAATGAATAATTTTTTTAATTAAAAAGAAGAAAATGAGAAAAAATTTCTTTGAGCAAAGACAAGATGTGAAAGCTGAACAATTCTGTGACATCTATTTTATGACATCTATTTTGTGACATCTATTTATAACATATATTTGTGACATCTATTTATCTCAACATACAATATAAAACAGAATCAATCACACAAAAGAGAATTCATAAAAAACTTAAAATCTAGATTGGGAAAACATCTTTATATTTCATTATCTGCTTTCACCCTAAGTTGAATTCAAATATACCTGTATTAAAATTAAACAATCATTTCAAACCTTGAAATGTGTTCTGGAATTCTGTCAAAGACTTTTTCTAATATTCAATACTAAAGTTGATGGTACTGAGATTATGACAGTTGTTCTAGTCAATTTAGAACATTGGTAACAACAATAGAAATACCTCCATGTCCCTATGTCAAAGTTTACACATAGGCATAACTATGAGGGAAAGTGGGAAAATCTATTTATAGCTTTGGTAACCTTGACATTGACCCAACTAACCTAAATTTTCACCAGAGTTATTGGAATTCCTCCTATGGAACATACAAACATACCAGATAAATATATAAGAAATCAGTCCAAAAATGGTAGGCAAATGTGACATAAGTACAAATAGGCAACTTAAACATGTGTATGCTTCATCAAATATATTTCTGTAATCATAAATTAAAATAAATTTTCTTTTAGCTAAGTTTTCACTTTCCCGCAAAAAGAAATTAATCTAATCAATAATTACTATTATCAGTGTTCTGTTCTGTTCTGACCTTGTTATATTGCTTTGCCTTTAATATATGATATAAATGTATATTGTATATTTATAATATGGACAATATATATAAACAATACAGAAGTTATTTTGTTATTTAATTATTTTGTTAATGTTTTGAGAGAATGAATTATAGCTAGCATCGCAGTTAGTAATTGACGCTGATATAAGCTCTTGGTTATTAAGTGCTTCCGTAGCTAATTATATTACTCTCGTTTCTACACGAAGCATCATTAAAATTAAGCTAATATTTATAAGTTTGTAATATTTTCTGTGTTCCTTGCTGTTATTTTCTGTTTATTGTAATATGCATAAATACAAATTTACACGACTTGCAAAATAATTAGTTTTTAACATCAAGTGTTAAAATATTTTTTGCCATTTAACGATAATTAATTTACACCACACGAAAATGAAGAGAAATGATGACATGATGTGTACAAAAAATCATAAATGATGAGAAAATCCAAATCTACATGAAACAAAAATAAATCTGCCACACAGGGATATTTGCAACAAGAAAAAAATCAAGAATAAAAATTACTGTAAAACAGAAAAAATTAAAGCGGACAAGAAAAAAAATATTTTGCAAGCCACGTATTTCAGATATATACTAACTAATAGACAGATCCTCGTCCACTGTAAATGTGAAAGAAATAGAGAACATACATTTAATTATAACAATATTATATTGGAAAAAAAACTGTATAAGTGGTTAATTTTGCTATGTGGAAATATTTACGATTTTTGTGAACTGAAATTATTCGTAAATATTTGATTGTAGAAAAACTATTTCTTTTTAGGCCAATTTTTTCCATCTTTTATAAACACGTTTTGTGTCAGGTCTTTTATCAAACTAACAAAGTATATTTCAAACAATTTTATACTATAAATAATAAAGGTATTAAAGAACTGAATAGAATGATTACAATAACGGCATATTTTTAACATGTACCTGCTTAATTAATGATATCACAAAAAACAGTATTAAATTCAAGAAACCATATTTTCGCAAATATTTCCGCACCCAAAAAGTCCACTTTTTGACGTTCGCAAAATTTTTTGTGACGCATATATATCCACTTATACAGTATACGGATCCTGAAATTCTATGGTGTACATAATGATCTAAATAACTGTTCATATAACTATGATGTCCTGTAAAGCACTTAAGCAACCTCATTAAATTTTATCATTGTACTATAAAATATGTAATTTCACTTTTCTACAAGTTATTTCACTTTCAAATGAAAACTGATAAATAAATAATTTCATAACTCTTTAATTCCATTATCATAATTAAATTACTACATTTTCATCAGTTTCCAATTCAAAATATAATCACATATTTTTTAGGAAAAAAAAAAAACTACAAAAATCCTTCTAATAACACTTGCCTTATTTTTACTAAAAACCGATAGTGCTGACTCAACTTTTTTTAATCGCCCCATGGCTCCTAATCCCCACAGCTCCTAATCCCCCAAAATATTC